CTCTCTACCCTCTCTACCCTCTCTACCCTCTCTACCCTCTCTACCCTCTCTACCCTCTCTACCCTCTCTACCCTCTCTACCCTCTCTACCCTCTCTACCCTCTCTACCCTCTCTACCCTCTCTACCCTCTCTACCCTCTCTACCCTCTCTACCCTCTCTACCCTCTCTACCCTCTCTACCCTCTCTACCCTCTCTACCCTCTCTACCCTCTCTACCCTCTCTACCCTCTCTACCCTCTCTACCCTCTCTACCCTCTCTAAGAGAGGGTGAATGATAATTAGTCAGCTAGTGAATAATGTTGGTTGGTATAAAGAGGACGAATCCTCACATTTTCCCGACACTTCCACCCATCCTCATCTTGAACACAGGACAACTACAATATCTTATAGGGACCATCGACGTAATTTAACGTTACCCTCTATACATATATATATATATATATATATATATATACCATGTTTGATTATCGATGGTACTCTTTAAACCATCGTCTGAGCAAATATATCAAAGTTCTCCTTTTTTATTTGATATTTTCCAATCGTGGATTTTTAATGAATTTGACTCGCGGATTTTTCTAAAAAAAGACTTATTGTTCTTCAAGTATAGAATTGTAAAGGGTTCGTACCGTTGTTAATAGCACATAGTCAATCTTATGGCTAATTTTAATTACATCGACATCATCTGTTACAGTTTACATATTTGTTATAACAAAAATTCATCAGAAAACATTTAGGCGTTTATAGGTGAAAAAAAACTATTCCCACAAACCTAACCTTAAACCAATATTTCTGTTCTGCAGATCTGAAAGGACAGTTTAAGCAACAAGACAAACTCGTAGTTTTAGAGTATGCGGAAGACCATTTACACTAATTTCTACAGAGAAATATCGGGGTGATAGAAAATTACTTTCAAATTTTTTTAAAAGGTTTCGTTTTCTATCCGATCCATGGCTATATACTTTCATAGAAAGTAAATTAAACAGATTTGGACAATTTTTCTTCATAGCACTTAAAAAAGTATAATTAATAGATATGAGTCGCTGATTATGTTAAAAAAATGTGTACATTTAATTAATATACTTTTCACATTTTTTTAAAATCTTGACTGGTCTTTTTGTTTGAGTCTGATAAACGTAAACATGCAGCTGAATTAAAATTTCAGAATGTTTATGAAACCAATATTAATTCATTAATAAATGTCTTAAATATTTTGATATTTTTAATGAATGAAAAAGTCTCAATTTATAAATTTCAGCCCGATTAATCTCTCTGTTTTCGACTGGTTTATTTTGAATTATTTTTTGGAACAATGAATTATGAAGCAGGTATTTATTCAACCCCACCACGCTAATAATTCGAATACTTAAAAAAGAAAATTTAACCTGGTTGAGCTCTCTAAAGCAAACTGAGAAATTTACACTCATGTCAATTTTTGGGGTCCTTGAGCGATATTTTCAAAAGAATTTTCAATTTACCAAACTTTAGCTTTTCCATTGATAAAAGAACGTTTCCTTGTTTTTTTCTTGCTATATTAATAAAAATATTAGTTAAACAGAGCATTGTTACATTATTACGCTGTACTGTACTGTGCTGCACTGTAATGCGCTATACTGTACAGTATTGTGTTGTACTGCACTGTACTGAGTTGAACTACATTGTACTACACAATACTACACTATACTACACTGTACTGCGCTATACTGTAAAGTACTGCGTTGTACTGCACTGTACTGAGTTGAACTGCATTGTATACTACACAACACTAGACTTTACTGCACTGTACTGTACTGCACCCTAGTTTTGCGTTGAACTGCAAAATGAAATTAACACCACATGTTTCCATCAAATTAAAAGTATTTATTGTCATGAAAAAAAGAACTGAATCTAATCATGCGTAGAAAACCTAATGCGGGTTTACTAATGTTAACCTATATATATCCAGCATAATTAACGCATGCAGCTTTTTAACCTAAATTAGTTTTCTAGTTGCAATTCATCTGCACTCGAGACTCTATAGGGTTATTAGTCAGTGCAAAGGGAAATGTACCACACTGTGAGTCATTAATTTTTGATCTTGTTTAAGCTGGAACCAGAACAAAAGTCCTATAAAATAAAGTCTCAAAATGATAGGACTTTATTTTCAGATACTTTTTATTTTACGGATTTTTTTCCACAGGACGTTTTAGTCCCAAAATTTTGGACTTCATTTCCGAAAACTTTTTTTCAGAGAAACTTTTTGGCAGTTATCTATTTAATACAGGCGTCCATATTATTCCATTTCTTATCGATCCCGAATGGGATAAGGGTTGAAAGTACATTTAGGGCCATGAAAATACACTTTCTGTTTCATTGTGAACTTTGGCAAATTTTTGTGTATGTGTTCTACTGGGTGCTCATAAGTTGTAAATATCAGTAATCAATATAAGAGATAAATTAGGATATAAAGGAAAATAAACACTCCCTTGCAGTAAGCATTCTGCAGTATGGAATTTTTTCTACAACTTTACATTATACTTCCAATTGTTTACAACAGGTTAATTCCTGCCCATAATATCAATAAATCAACAGCTGGGATCGTAGTAGATGGATCTATATGGACCCCTCATCTCAACACATATTATATTTTTCTTGCTAATTTGAGCTTAGGCCTATGCAAATATTAAAATCATAAAAATAATAAAAACCAACTGGATAAAAAGTCATTGAGCGTTAACTTTGAAATCCATTTTCAGCCGTTAAAAAGATTTTACGTATTTGCTATTTTATAATTTTGTGTGGTTCATAAAATACGGTTTATATGTGCACTTTAAATCTATTTCCATAGAATTTATTAAAGTTGTAAAAGATAAACTTCTTTAAAATCAAAACAGAAGAATGAAATAAGCTCAAAGAATATATATTGCACTAGCTTGAGAACCCAGCATTGACAAGGGAGGGTACCCCGCCGTTTACCCGCGCTTAGTCGTAAACTACGATTTTAGCTATTTTTTCTAAAAAATTTGTCTACTTAACTTATAATCTTAAAACCAAACTAAGAACATTCAATAGGATCTCACGAGTTCTCAAATCAAAATTTGACGCAAATCGGTCAAGGGTTCCTGAGTTATGATCGGATCAACAAATAGACAGACAAACAGAGATAACATCTTTATATATAGATGCAGGAACTATTAGTTTGTGGCCCATTATTACCACCAGTTGTCAGGTTTGGGCACAAACAGAAAGATTTTGGTTTTACGATAGCTTCCTAGCTATGGGATATATCAATTGCAAAAGTTAATAATAAAAATAATAACAACTATTAGCTACGTTTAATTAAAAGCTATTGTATTTTCAATCTTTCCTGCAGAGCTGATGTTTAAACAAAGAATTAGGAAACCTTCATGCTGGGTTTTTTTTTACTACGTAAACAAACAGACTATTTGAGTCTAAAACGAGACATCAAAATCGAATCCTTCTTGCGTTAGTAAAATGTAATTGACTTTCAGTGAAAACAGACAGATTCGGAAAAAGATTAGATAGCAGCTAAAAATCATTTCTCACGTTCAATTCATTTCTAGTTTTCAGTCTAGAATTGTCTTCCATCTACAGTTATACCGTTATTTTTCAAAACTTTGAATCTACAGTTGCAGTACTTGGTATACATGTGAGTACCCACCTTTAGGTTGGATATAGTTTCTTCCAGAGCTCTTTCACTTCCGTTTCTGTTTTTGCGAAAACGTAGTGAAAAATGGAGATTGGTGGGCAAATGGGAAATTTTAATCAATTTAATTATTTTTCCGCTTTATTTTTATTTACCTTTGAGTGTTACTTAAAAGAAGTAACCTATTAAAAGTGGGCAAATTTTAGAAAGAATTTATGTAATTTTATATATCACTTCTCAATTTAAGTGTCTTGAGGTTATAACTTATGTGTGGAAAAGCGCTAATCTACCATGCTTGATCTCACATTGTATAGACACTTTTAATGTACTTGATCTCAACTGTAGACACCGATAATTCTACAATGTACTTGATCTCAAACACTTTTAATTCTACAATTGACTTGATCTCAAACTGTAAACATGTTTAATTCAACAGTGCTTGATCTCAAACACTTTTAATTCTACAATGTACTTGATCTCAACTGTAGACACCGGTAATTCTACAATGCACTTGATCTCAAACACTTTTAATTCTACAATGTACTTGATCGTAAACACTTTTAATTCTACAATGTACTTGATCTCAAACACTTTTAATTCTACAATGTACTTGATCTCAAACTGTAGACACTTTCAATTTACACTGCGCTTTATCTCAAACTGTAGACACTTTTAATTCTACAATGTACTTGATCTCAACTGTAGACACCGATAATTCTACAATGCGCCTGATCTCAAACACTTTTAATTCTACAATGTACTTGATCTCAAACACTTTTAATTCTACAATGTACTAGATCTCAAACTGTAAACACTTTTAATTCAAGGAATCAATTTAATCTTTACAAGCATAAGTTAAGGATTTTTACTTTTGAGTAATTTTTTGCACGCACCTGTCTTGGCTAATTTTTGACATCTTTTTCGTAAAATAATAAGGTTTTAAAAGTATGAAAAACCGTGACCAATATTAAAAAAATTCTTTCCAGATTTATTTTTAAATTCTTAAAATGTTCTTATCACGTAAAGTTTCCTTTCATCAAAAATTCAATTTTCTCAAAACACGATATTTTGATTAACTTGTCCTTTGAGCATATTCGCTCTCAGCATACATGCAATTTGATTGACGTCGTACGTTTGTAATCAAAGTTGGAAATTGACTTTTTGAAAATTATAATCGTAAGAACCGTTAGATCTTGAAAACTAAGCTGTGGAAAATTATATTTAGCTTATACTTTGTACCTTACTCCAGGGCGTATCCAGGATTTCGTAGTATGCAGTCCCTAGTGAGATTCAGAACAAAGTGTATATACTGTCTTTAAAGTTTTTAAAATTAAAAATGCCACTTTGTTTTTTTTGTAACTCTCATATCCTTGAAAACATCTTCAGAAGAAAAATGCTAGTTCTATTCCTCACTTTATTCGCAATATCTTCAACATATTCAGCATTTTTTGCAACCCAGGTAGAACCAAGGTTGTGTAATTAGGTTAGACACTCTGGAATCTGGATGGCTCCAAAGTAGGTTAAGACGACCTTTATAGCAGAGGCCACTCTAAATCATCATATGACGTTACTGCTTATTTTAAAGAATTTTTCATTTTGTGGCTCACAAAATATAAACGAACCCAAAAATTGAGAACTTGAATTAGAATTGCAGAAGTATCAGTTACGTCATAAGAGGATTTAGACTGTCCATTGCAATAAAGATGATATTTACCTACATTGGAGCGCATCCAAAGCATCTAAACTTGTATTCAACCTTCAAAAAGATATTTAAAAAAATGGGCCGTCAAAATTTGTAAAATAATTGACGTAATACAGCAAATTAGTTTTACCAGTAGCGACCCACACCCGTTTTACCTCCGACCGCAGCTAGATGATATCACAAAACAGTATTTGCGGCATGCGTTTACCCCTATACCGTCTGACCCTCACCCGTTTTGCCTTCCTGCAAAATCTCTTAATTTGTATATGCTAATTATAGACGAATGCAGCATTAGTTTAAATTTATAAAGATGTGATGGCATCTATCATAATAATAAACTTATTCAGCATATTTTTTTGTTTGTTTGTAACAGTAGCACATTTCCCCGCTTAAATAAGCGATAGTTTTAAGAATTCTGATCAAACAACATTTTAGGGAAGATCATATTTGCGGCAGTGCGTTTTTTTACGTCACTTACCCAAACGTGTTCCGACCCGCAGTTGTATTCATACGATAAATGAGGTTTTTCGCAATTTATTCTGTATCAATATATTTAAGTATATACGAGGGCTAACGATAATCTACTCAAAAAAAGTTTTGGAACACTGAGAAAAAAAAACATTTCTTAAATAGTATCTCGCATTTGGCGTGCCATTTATTAAAAGAATATTCTATATATTATAAATCCAATTAAAATTTATATTTCAAAATTATAAAATTTTAGTTAAAACCAGTCGTGCCTGCCTGACGCTGCCTAAAAGAAATAAAAACAATTCAGACTTAAAATAATAAAAATAATTACATAAGCAAATGAAGACGGGAGAGGCGGAGGCCGGGTCGGACGGCATAGGGATAAGCTCATGCCGCCAGACCCTCTGACGTCATCTGCGGGTCGGAGATAAAACGGGTGCGGGTCGCACTCGCAGCAGATAGCTATGTTTAGTTTACATTGCAAAATTTCTATGATTTATGTTTATTGGATTATTTATATCATAACTTGATAGTGCACAGTATTATTGGTCTCACAGTACTTTTAATTTCAACTTGGGTTTTAAAATAGTTTGGAAATTCTGTAAGAGCACAAATCTAAATATGATTTACAAATGAAAATAAAAATTGAAAAGTTTTCTTTTATCTGTAACATATATAGCTTCTTTTTCTATTTCAACTTGCGTGATATTTAGCTACTTCTCCCAACTGATTGACTTCTTATAATAGCGAGAAATAGCTAAATATCATAAAAAGTTGAACCACTTCTATGCGATAAACCACGTCAACGCTATTCATAAAATTTGGTCTCTTAGCTCTCTAATTTTTTCAGTATTTATTTTTTTTCTTGGAATCTAATGGAGAACAGAGTTGTGAGATGTTTTTAGATTTAGATTATAAATTCAAATCTACAATCCAAGGTTTAACGTTTAACAACACACAAATACTATCACATTTCAAAAAGACGACTTTTATATTTGCACATCAACATATTCTCTGAAAGCATTACTTTCCTACCTTTTTTATCGATCTAGAAATAACATTTTTTCTTTTTTTTGTATTTTTCTAGCGCCATTTCTTCCCCGGATTGGATACAGTGAGACGAACAAATTCTGAGCCGACATTGGCCGACCTACAGGTATTTACACTGCTTTAAATCAGGTTTTAAGTGAAAAGACGAACAAATTTTCTTTGAAATATACTATTATGCAATCTACTGACTTATAATCCAAATTTCCAGGCCACCTGGGGAATTTTGATAAATACACTATTTATAGATCTAAAATATAACATTTGTTAGGCAATATTTTGTTAACGATAAATGGCAAGATCCTCAAGTGAACTGAATGATTGCATGAGAACTGCCTAATAAGCTTTTTGTCAAGTGAAATCAGTAAAAATTACATCAAAAAGACTTTTTTAGAACGTAAACACAGTCAAGCAGATTACTTTTCGCTACAATGTGTCTGATGACTGTTTTTAAAAATGTACAAAATTTGGGGACCCTGGCATTTGACATTTACTGTTAAATATTTGGGGACCCTGGCATTTACTGTTAAATATCGCAAAAAGCAGAGGAAGTCTTGAAACAAAATTTACGTTTAATATTAGACCTGTAAATGCACGAGATTTCTGAACTTTGCTAAAAGAAATATAAAAATGAGACTATAACTCAGTAGACTGCATGTCAATATATTACAAAGAAAAAGGTGTTTCGACTATTTTGGTAAATTTTCAGCAATGTGATTTATTCTTATTTTTATTTTCTAATAACAAGTGAATTTTGTTGAATTGGATGATGTTGAATGATTTCCGTCTGTATCACGTGACCAGTATAATGAATTCTCATTGGCGGGAGCTCTTGTGACGAATACGGACTTATAAATAATATTATCAATTATATCTATTAAAATGCAAATAGAAATGAAAGATTATAACAGGAGCAAACCTGAGATTCTCAGGTTTCTGTAAGATAAAATCGTTTTCAGACTGTTTGCATATCTGATGAATATGATCTGTTTAAACTTTAAACCTACTACTTTTATACAAAATTTCATATATTTAGATTTTCGTATAATTTTGACACAGTTTTATTAACAATTTCTCGAGACAGGAACATCAGATAGATGTCTTATATGTTCAACGCCTGAGTTTCGTAGGTTTTATCATATACCCTCTTTCATTTTTCCTGTACAGTCCCTTTAATCATAAGAATGCCATTCTACTTAACCCATTTTAGCAAACTCACAAGTAAATTCAGAATTCATTTTTTTTGTGAGTGCATCAAAAACACCCAAAAACATTTTAAAAGTCTTAATAACTTTGAAGGACAATTTTTGTGCAGAACCTGACATACACTTTTAACTTGTTCGGTGGCTGATTTTTTAGTTTTTTTAGCCTTTGACACAAACTCTGATTTTCTAATCCCTATATCTTTGCTACTTAATGTCGTAGACCTTAGATATTTCAAATTATGAATTTTTTAAGACCTAATAATCTAAGTTTGAAATATATAAGGTTATCACCATCAAGTTGCAAATGTATAGGGATTATAAAAGTTGAGTTTGTGGCGAAGACTCCAATTTCTCCGTTAATGTAAAATCTCAGTTAAGAATAAAGAAGTAAAAAAGGAGCAAAATGGTGCTTGCAGAAAAAAGTCAAAATAAGAACTGAGAGAATGACGTTGATTTCTTTAAAACTCCAGATTAAAAGAATTAAACTGTTAATATTATCTCCTCATTTTAATAAATTTTCTTTCATCTTTTGTGAAGCAGAAAGCTTTGCTTTAAATTAAATATTTTCTAATAAAGCTCTCTGGATTATCATTTACTTTAAGAAATTCTTATTATTTATTTTTTTTATTAGTTTTCAGTTTGCTGACTTCTTTTTGAAAAGGAAAATACTAAAGAAACTGAGTTTTTGCCACAAACTCAAATTTTATAATCTATATATCTAATTGGAACTTGATTGTCTAAACAATTAATATTTCAAACTTAGACTATTTGATCTAACAGATTTTTTAGTTTGAAATTAATGGTCTAGAACATCGGGTTTTACAAATATAAGATTGGAAAGTTAGAGTTTGTGAAAAAATTTATTTCCTTTGTACAAAAGGTACAAATTTAAAACTTAATTCTTCCAAAGATGTTGTCTTCTAGGTTTGAATAAGATTTCTTGCTTATTTTTAAACAAATATTTTGTTTTATTTAAAAATAATTAAAAAATACTATTACATAATCATATAGTAATGGTAAATGTTTTTATACATTTTTGATTTCGTACTTCTGAGAACTCTGTAGTGTTAGAGTGTCTATATATATCTAAATGCGTACAGAGGTAGACACTTTCGTGTGGAGTAGCATTAATCTTAAAAGGCTTAATGTTGATATCCAATGTGGACACTTAAAGTTGAGTATCTCAATGCTTGATTCCTTAACTGAAGTTACCCCTTCAAGGTATGCGTTTCAAGGTATGCGAACCCCCGCAAGATATCAAAGAAAAATTAATCCTAGATCTGCACAAGATGCAAGGTTCTAATGCAAAGAAAGTTATTTCAGAGATGTACGCATCTTTTGTACTGCAGTGAACTGTCTCTGGGCGGTATTGTAAACACAAGACGGATGTGGAAGCCTGACATGGGATCCATCTTTCTCATAAAAAAATCAATGAAATATTCTGGTCTTTGGAAACTATTATGTGAATTATCAAAATTATCAAAATTTAATGCTTTTGACCTCCTCGGATACTAAACGAACACTGATGCATTTATTCTTGTTTACAAATTCCGCCCAGAGAGAACTGGTTTCAATATGTACGCATTACGCAAAGTATACGCAGCTGCAATTAACTTTCCTTGAATTACAACCTTGACAAGATGGAGATCAATGGTTGTGTCCAAGATTCACAGCACAAATGTTCTGACTTCTGAGATCGGAAAGTATATTGAAGAGGGTCCGTAGGTCTGAATGAGATGGAGATTAATGCTAGATTCTAAGATTAAAAGCACAACAAATCTAAATTTAGTTGATGTTTGTTCTTACGTATATTTTAATTTTTTAAAATTTTCTTGCTATTTAAAGGTGAACGAGATGTTTTTAAATATTTGGATACTTTAAATCTGTTTTTTAACAATTTTGTCAAAATATTTTCAAGTTTAGTTTGGAGAAGGAAAAAATAGATTAAACTTAAAGAGAATGTTAATTAGATTCACAAGAAAAATATCTTTGTTGTTTGAAAAGATCTAGTTTCAAAACAAAAACACCATTTAAAAACTTCATCATCTTATGAACTATTGTAAAGTTAAAGTAAACAGTTTTTCTTTTAAATTCCCAAACTTGAAAACAATGAAAAATAACAGTAAGACTGTTGAATAGGAAGACGACAATCAGGTGTGTGGTGTGTCTTAACAACATCAAATATACAGATTAGATTTCATAAATCCCGCCTTCCTGTTCCAGAGTTTTTTTTGGATCCCACTGAATATTCCAAAATAATTTTTTTATCTTAACCCTATTCCTGCTGGGGGGGGGGNAATGTATTTGTATTCTCAATACTTTCGGCAAATTTATTTGTATTCTCAATACTTTCTGCAAATGTATTTGTATTCTCAATACTTTCGGCAAATTTATTTGTATTCTCAATACTTTCTGCAAATGTATTTGTATTCTCAATACTTTCGGCAAATTTATTTGTATTCTCAATACTTTCTGCAAATGTATTTGTATTCTCAATACTTTCGGCAAATTTATTTGTATTCTCAATACTTTCTGCAAATGTATTTGTATTCTCAATACTTTCGGCAAATTTATTTGTATTCTCAATACTTTCTGCAAATGTATTTGTATTCTCAATACTTTCGGCAAATTTATTTGTATTCTCAATACTTTCTGCAAATGTATTTGTATTCTCAATACTTTCGGCAAATTTATTTGTATTCTCAATACTTTCTGCAAATGTATTTGTATTCTCAATACTTTCGGCAAATTTATTTGTATTCTCAATACTTTCGGCAAATGTATTTGTGTTCTCAATGCTTTCTGCCAGTTTACTTCGTCGATCTCAAATGTATTTGTATTCTCAATACTTTCGGCAACCTTAATTGTATTCTCAATACTTTCGGTAAATGTATTCGTATTCTCAATACTTTCGGCAAATGTATTTGTATTCTCAACACTTTCGGCAAATGTATTTGTGTTCTCAATGCTTTCTGCCAGTTTACTTCGTCGATCTCAATAATGTTTGGCAAGTGTCGTTCTTGACTAAACTACTTCGTGTAGGTTTACTCTTTTCTCAATGCTTCTTGACAATTTACTATTATATCCCAAAAGGATTAAAGATATATGGATTAGAAAGTTAAGGTTTGTGAAAAGAATTCAATTCCTTTATGAATATTTCTAATTTTCTTCTTGTATTGTACAATGTACATAAATATTCAATTTGTAAACAATTAAGGTGTCAAAACCTCACCATGTCGCACGCCCTTCTCTCTCGGCATTTCATCCCCAGCTGGAAGGTCATCAATTCTACAAGAGGAGAGTTCAGAAACCAAGGTAAACTTTATTTAAACACAAATGAAAAATTGAACTGTAAAATTCTACAGTTGATTATTTTTTTGTCTACTTATACAAATTAGACATTTTTAACCTTTTAAGGCGTTCCACGTCAAACCCTAAATAATATATAGTGAACTCAAAATTTCGGAATTTTGTCTCACAGCAAAAGAAATTAAGTCTTTGCCACAAAATTTACTTATCAAAAATAATGGTGCAATGATATTTTAAACTTAGTTTATTTGTTCCAGCATAATTCATAGTTTAAAATATCAAAAGTCATTGGGTTTCAGAGCAATAGGATTAAAAAATGTGGGTTTTGGCAAAGACTCAATTCCTTTGCACAAGTTGAACCCCAGTTTTTTCTTTTGCATATTGTTCTATTCAGGCATTTCGCTAGCGCAGCCCTGAATAAGCAAAAGAGGGGTTCGGTTCACTCTCAAGAAATGGCCGAAGGATGGGATAGCTATCCAAATATAGAGCAGATAACAGGTTAATCACGTGATCATCTATTCGGAGATGTCTTTTATTACTTTACATGTGTGTTTTTATTATCATAGCTAAAAGACATGGTGTTGTATAAATAACCATGGAGTTAAATCCTTTTCTTTTTTAAATAAATAAAATAATTAAATGGTGTGTCCTTAACAATATTTCGTGAATAAAGACAAAAAATCGAAATATAAATTTGAAAATTTTGTTTAGAATGTATGACAGTTGGGACAATGGGGTCTGAGGAAGAAATTACTTGGTTTTTCAGGTAGTTTCTATTATTTTAGGTTTAATACTTTAAAAACCTAAACCTTACAACTATTTTTTCTTATATATACTTACATTTCACCTAAAATTATTTGCCCCCATTTTATTTTTTGAAAATCTTTATTAGTTCTAGCAATAAAATTTCTCTTTTAATTGTTTTTTTTTGTAAAGAAAAATCTATATATAGCCATAAAACAGTTATCCAACAGCTTCATAAAATATGGTGATGGTTTGTTTAAAAAAAAAAAACATAATATCCGCGGAAGACGAAATTATACAAGTTCTTCCGTTGTCCTCTTAAACATGGGTTTTACTGTATTGAATTGTAACCAATGGTAGACTGAACCTTTAGAGACATGGGGTGTCCCACGAGACTTGACAGTTAGTAAATATTTTTGGATGTCTTCTTCCATATTCTGTATTAGATATTTATAGATGTTTATTTAGTTACTCAAATATATTTTATTTTGAATTCCATTTTACTATAATATGACTGCTTTGTGATATTTTTTATAATTCTCTTTGACATCAAACAACTTAACACATTATGGAAGGAGACATTTTGAACTATTCTCCAACTGTCATGTTTCGTTGGACGTATGTAAAAAAAGTAATTAACTAAATCCGTCACGGTATAACTTTAAAAGTCCTGGCTAGTGATTTCATAATGGATTAACAATGGCATTGTATAATAATCTCAAACTTAGTACGAGTATGCAGTTGTTGTTGTTTAAACCAAACAAAGTTATTTGTGAAACAACCCGAGCTGTAGCACGTGTATTTAACATTTTGGTCCCTATTCCAGCAATCTGGGACTTTTGATCACAATTTGACTTTTTAACATTGTTTTTATTTTCTCTTTTATACTTTATTGTCTGTAAAATATGCGTTTCAATTGAAAACGCATACAAACTCCATAGTTTAAAGGCTGAATGAATTATAGAGTTAAATCGATTGAATTTAATTGAAAGAAATAGATAATCAAGTACAATAGGTGGCAACAGAGAAATGGACAAATTATACACAACGTCACAAGTGTCAAATATAACGAAAATTTTTTTTTCTCACATTAGTTGACATGTTTTCCAAGATTAAATAAAAAAGTGTAAAAACAGAAAATAAAGAACACATAAAATTGCACTTATTTTACTGTAAAATAAGCATTGTATTCTAAAATTATCACTATTATTAATAATTTTGTCGGACACAAAAACCAAGTTGACACTTGTGACATCAGAATACAGTTGTACTGCGAGTGTACAAATTCTACAAATTGTTTTAAAATCTATTTGATTAAAAGTAAAGACATATAGAAGATAAATACAAAATAAAAAGTACTATGCCGCGGTTCCGAAAAAGTTTGTAAATATCATAAAATGCTAAACATAAGTGTTTTGGAAAGTTTCGGAAATGAATATAAAACACAATATCACTTTGTTGATCAATTCGAGGAAAATAGTGCTAAAATTTATCATGCTGTAAATATAGGCTTAATGGTCAAGAGGGGGTAAGAAGGAGGGTACCCCCCCCCCTTTTTAATTTTTGTTCTTGAGCAAATAATGATCATCATCATTGATTCATTATCATTAATTCACATTTTTGTTAAACCCTTAACGGACTTTTTTCTTTTCAGAAACGATTGCGAGTATAGATATCTTAGTTCGTATAAGAATGTTTTGTTCATAAAAATACCAATGTTTACTTTCCAAAAGGTTGTTTAGTTTTTGAAAATTTGAACAATATTGATAATCAGTCGAAGGTTGAAAGGTTACCATAGTGAATTGGATATGCCACTTTTGTTTTAAATGGTGGGTATTTTTGAAATAAATAAAATGTAAACCTGCTTTTTACAGATCTCAGGGGGAGACGGAAACCTGTGGATTATACATCGGTAAAACATTAAATTATTTAATTTTTAAAGATTCTTGGGTAAACTTTCAGAATTTGATAACTTCCAGTGGCAAGAACATAGAAGATTTATTCGACACTTATATTAATACAATAATGACAACTTTCGATTTTAATTTTGATTTCAACAAAGCTTCTTAACATGATGGATATTCAAAGAGAAGCTTCCAATTAACAGCTTCTCTTTGATTACGTGCAAACTTGTAATCTTATAAAAGTCTTTTAGAAATCAAAATTTAAATAAAAAGTTGTCTTTATTGTATTAAGAAAACGCCGACCACAAAATGTCAAAAGATATGAACCAAAACGATTCATCGAAATGATCTAAAAAATCGTCTTTTTTTTTTTAGCCTTTTATTAACATCATATCAAAGTCAAACATGATTTTCACAAAACTATAATATCGATCTTTTACACCGTTTGGGAGAAATCGTCATCATTGGAGTACTATAAAAGAACCCCTCTCATTGAAGACCCCAATGGAGGTCTTGTTGGAGGCCCCAGGATTTTCATTGGGGTCTCCAATGAAAAGCTTGGGTTCTCCATAAAAAATCTGAGGGTCTACAATGAAAATCTGGGATCTTAGATGAAAATCTGGGGTCTCCAATGAAAAGACTGGGGTCTCCAATGAAAAGACCGGGCACTCCAATCAAAAGACTGGGGTCTCCAATGCAAATTTGAGCGTCTCCAATGAGACATCCATATGGGTCTCCAATGATAGGGTGTCTCCAACAGTGATGATTTCTTGCCAGACTCCAAAATGATACACATCTCTATGTACTAGTTGGTGAACCTGACAGACTGATAGAGATAACTGTTGATAAACTAGACGTAGACTGCTCAAACGGTCTTATTATGGTAATATGATACTTTTAACATTATGTGCCCCCCCCCCTAAATGTGCAGAAATCCACAAGTTAATTTTGAAGAAATTAATGATAATTAATTTTTATCTTACATTATAAATGCTATGAAAGATCAAAAGGTGAATTTATACTAGTCGTCTCCAAATACCATGTTTATATTTTGTTATGGCCAGATAATACGAATTTATTGGTTTGGAATAATTAATAATAATAAAAAATAAGAAAGTTTTTCTTCCAAACCTATTCACATCCATTCCACTATTTTACACTTTACAGGTGTTCAATGGCTGGGAGTTAAACAGTAACATATTTCCCGGGGCCGAGGATCATCAGCTTCCATTGAACAAGAGGTCAACGACCTTCTGTAACCAGGAACAAGCATCTAATAAGGTAAAACAGTTGTTTATTGAACAAGAGGTCAACGACCTTCTGTAACCAGGAACAAGGATCTAATAAGGTAAAATACAGGTATATTGAACAAGAGGTCAACGACCTTCTGTAACCAGGAACAAGCATCTAATATAAGGTAAAACAGTTGTTTATTAAAAAAGAGGTCAACGACCTTCTGTAACGAGGAACAACCATAAACTAAGGTAATACAGTAGTTTATTAAACAAGAGGTCAACGACCTTCTGGAACCAGGAACAAGCATCTATAATAAGGTAAAATAGTTGTTTATTAAACAAGAGGTCAACTACCTTCTGTAACCAGGAACAAGCATAAACTATAGAGAAAACAGAAATGTATTGAATAGAATTAATAGGGCGATAGAATATGTTGATATTTAGGTATTAGTATCCAGTCAGAACGCTGCTCTGGTATCCTATAAGATACCAACCCCGGGACAAGGATTTAGTGTTAGAGTTAGAACACTTCATAATCCAGATCGTAAGTTTTAAATTACTCAATTTGTTGAAAACAAATAAAATCAGAAAGTTTTAAATGTTTTTGTTGACGATGAAGTATGATTTTTTTTCTTCATTTTTTTTATTTATCCTAATTCTGATAAAAACTTTACATAAATAGTTAGATGCATAATAGTTTTCATCAATGTATAAAAGTCATTTTAAACTCATCGTCTTTTGTTTTGTTTAGCCTGTAATATTCTGATGTCTGACCTATCTGGTTACTTTACTCTTCAAAACCATGGAATAGCAAGGTAAAATAATTTTTACTGCTGAAAAGCCGTAATTTCAAGTGGTGCGGCATGGAAAGATGGCATATGACTGATTTACAGAGCTTTGCTTGATACAGTATAAATTATATATGAATGCTTTTGCTTCTTTGATTATTTTCATTTGCGGTTTCTCTGCAAAATTGACTTTCGCATTTTTTGCTTATAAGAAGAAATTGACCTTGTTTCGCAATTCAGCGATTCATGAATCCTGACCCTGAGCAAATTTAAGAGCTCTTATCGTAAAATTTAAAAAAATAATAATCGAACGTTAGTTTATTGAGCTTATAGTTCAATCCATATAGCACTTAATACACATATACACAAACCCCCTTTGCTTTCGAGCCTTACTGCTGCCTTAGATTCTTGTCCCCCCCCCCCAAAAAAAAATGTTGTTGTTTTTTTTTTTGGGGGGGGGGAATTTTTTTTTCGCACTTTGCGCGAAATAATTACCTTTTCCCCCTAACAAAATGTCAAGTTGTCCGGATGCACAAATGTGTCGAATAAAGTTCGATGGTTGTATAGGTTGTAATGCAAGGTGTCCAACGAAACATGACAGTTGTTAAATAGTTTATAATGTCTTATTCCATAATTTGTTAAGCTGTTTAATACCAAAGACAAGAATAAAAATATTATAGTAAAATCAACTTTAAAGTAAAATATATTTGAGCAAAAGATTTGTTAAACGAGATAAACTGTTAACAGCCTTTAATAACTAATACAGTGTATGGATAACGACATTCAAAACTATTTACCAACTGTCATGTTTTGCGGGACAGCCTGTATCTGAATGATTTGTTTGGAATTAAATTGATCTAATATTTGTTGACGTAAGCCTATAAGCCCTTCATTTTTCGCGAACACTCCCTTTAAGGTTCCAAGGTTCCTAATTTTACAAATCGAGAATATTATTTTTTTTTACTTGATGAAGGATCCCTTGGAATTATCATTAAATGATTTATAACCTTCAGAAACTGTTCTTTAACAACCCTTCTGTTTCCTGCAAACTTTGCTCTTCTCTCTATGGATGTTGGGGAACCTTACAGAACCAAGCGAAGTCAGGATTCAGGACTACAAACTCAGGTAGAGAACACACCTCAGGACTACAGACTCAGGTATAGAACACACGTCAGGACTACAGACTCAGGTATAGAACACACGTCAGGAATACAGACTCAGGTAGAGAACACACGTCAGGACTACAGACTCAGGTATAGAACACACGTCAGGACTACAGACTCAGGTAGAGAACACACATCAGGACTACAGACTCAGGTAGAGAACACATGTCAGGACTACAGACTCAGGTATAGAACACATGTCAGGACTACAGACTCAGGTAGAGAACACACATCAGGACTACAGACTCAGGTAGAGAACACACATCAGGACTACAGACTCAGGTAGAGAACACATGTCAGGACTACAGACTCAGGTAAAGAACACATGTCAGGACTTCAGAATCAGGTAAAGAACACACGTCAGGACTACAGAATCAGGTAAAGAACACAGGTGAGGACTACAGACTCAGGTAGAGAATACATGTCAGGACTACAGACTCAGGTATAGAACACACGTCAGGACTACAGACTCAGGTAGAGAACAAACGTCAGGACTACAGACTCAGGTATAGAACACACGTCAGGACTACAGACTCAGGTATAGAACACACGTCAGGACTACAGACTCAGGTAGAGAACACATAATATATCCTAGCAGGTTTAATATATCCTAGCAGGTTTAATATATCCTAGCAGGTTTAAACAATGTATTCTAATTTCTTCCATCCAACTCCTTACCTCTCCAAATTATTCCAAACTTTATATTAAAATTAAGATTGTTTATTTGTAAAACCTGAAAATTATGATTTTTTATAGTGTTCTCAACATGGTTGGTCTGATTATATTGAACTCGGAGGGAGTCTAGAGCTGGAATCATCTAATCTGGCATCCTCGGAAACCATTTGCGGATTTGATTCAGAACCTATCAAGAAGGTATTATAATGATTATACTATGTTCTCTTCGTAGAGACATATCTTAAAGGGTTTGTCAACGTTCCCATTCAAGAGTTTCATTTCCAATTCACAACGGTACCCTTTAAAAATATGTCTGAGCAAAAAATTGCAATTTTCTATAAAAGTGACTTTGTGATTTATTGTGGCAAACGCAAAGGAAGGGACAGAGAAGAAATATCATCTTTTTAGGCCAAAAACATATCATATTTTTCTTATTGTTAAAGGGACTGTAAACGAACTTTCAAGTTCAAGTGACACAAAGATTACAATGCCTGATTCACCATGGTACCCTATGTAGACGCTTAGTTACATCAAGTATGGATTAGATATTAATGTTTATAAATTGGAAAATAGATTATTTCAATAGAACAACGACAATATCTTCCACATTATTAAACAGTTAGAGTTTCAAAAATACCATTATTAAACAGTTAAAGGTTTCAATTATACCACTGTGAAAAAGTTAAAGGTTTCAATAATACCATTGTGAAACAGTTAAAGGCTTCAATAATACCATTTTTAAACAGTTAAAGGTTTCAATAATACCATTGTAAAACAGTTAAAGGTTTTAATAATGCCATTATTAAACAGTTAAAGATTCAAAAATACCATTATTACATAGTTAAAGGTTTCAATAATACTATTGTGAAACAGTTAAATATTTGAATAATACTAGTCAATATTCAAAAATATTCAAAAATAACGTCTTAATTGTATTGATACAAACGTCTACCATTGTACCATATACCAGGGGTTGACTGTTCTGTGTGGATCTAGCACTGTGAGATTAGTTTCCAGCGGAGACTTTGAAAACACTGTCTCGGTTTATGTCAAGGTAAAAAAAATTAAAAATTAGTTTTTTTTTCAAAATTTGAAATTTTTTTTTTAAGGCTGCTTCTGATGACGATCTAGACTTCAACACTAACTATGTTATCACTTGTCCTGAAAACTAATTTTATTTTCAAAATAAAAATAAATATCTATGAAAAAAGCCAATTATAGTAGCAGATGGAACATCAGAATTATTCAGGTTTGGCTTTCAGATAATAGATGTTTCCGCATTTAAGTAAAACCAAGAATATAAAAAATATATTTTAGAAATTTTCTATTTAATATGTTTAACTGTTTGTTAGAAATATATAAGAAAAATTTAAGTAATTGTAACATTTTAAACTTTAGGTTTGCTGTGCATTTTGTTATAAGTATCATTTAGTTTTAAAATGTTTGTAAAATTTAATGAGATTTTTTAAGAAAAGCGGGGTCATGAGGCTAAAATATGAGTAGATATGTGTATGTATATATGCTGACTATTATAATGTTATTCTGTTTAATAAAGAAATATTATTAAAATATTTGTTTTGTTTTTACAAAAATAGTTTCTGAAAAACGGTCAAATTCAGAGATAAGAGAGTAACAGAGATCAATTGAAACTAGTGTATGCAATATTTTCCATAGCATGTTCTACAGTGTACAAGTACTGTACACCGTACACACGACCAATCAGCAGTCTTCTGCATTCAGGGATATTAAAGGATCCGTGAAATAAAAAATCTTCAAAATAGACTTAATTCATAAATTTGATGTTTCATGATAAAAATTGTGGGAATTCTTTAAAAGTTGTAAAACTTAACCCCTGAAATGGGTACATGCCACCGTAGCATGACGTGCTGGGACACTAGGCCTGCTTAGCCTATCCGGGTAGAGAACATGCACAGTCTGGTTAGCCTGTGGTCAAATTGTTTAATCTGTACATTATACAAATATCATATTACTCTGAAAATTAGATTCTTTTTTAATTTTTCCTGTAAAATATCGATGTGTTTCTTCTATTGAAATGATCTTCATTATAGTGCATTACACCCTATAAACCTCTTTTAGCTATTCCAATTGACAAAGAACGGAGACCCATGACCATACAAGAATAGTGATGGAACATAAGTTAAGGTTTTTTTAAAAGCTTCAAACATTTAAAAACTTTATATAATTAAGGTTTGCTATCATAAACTTTCTAATAAGAAAAAAACAAAACCTTGGTTCCTTTTGGCTTGTTTAATGCATTTTTTCACAGAAAACTAAAGTAAATTGTATGTAAGATAGAAGAAAAACAAGAATGTTTAATACATGTATCACGGCAAACTAAAGTAAATTATATGTAAGATAGAAGAAGAACAAGAATGTTTAATGCATGTATCACGGCAAACTAAAGTAAATTATATGTAAGATAGAAGAAGAACAAGAATGTTTAATGCATGTATCACGGCAAACTAAAGTAAATTGTATGTAAGATAGAAGAAGAACAAGAATGTTTAATACATGTATCACGGCAAGCTAAAGTAAATTGTATATAAGATAGAAGAAGAACAAGAATGTTTAATACATGTAACACGGCAAGCTAAAGTAAATTGTATGTAAGATAGAAGAAGAACAAGGATGTTTAATACATGTATCACGGCAAGCTAAAGTAAATTGTATGTAAGATAGAAGAAGAACAAGAATGTTTAATACATGTATCACGGCAAGCTAAAGTAAATTGTATATAAGATAGAAAGTCCTCATATTGAAGAAGAATAAGAGTGTTTTGATGGAACTGCAGATAAATTTTCTTTTCTCGTGATTATGCTTGACATCAAAACTAGAGGAGCTAGTAGGTCGTAGTAATTTCGAATAATTTTTACCTTCTCCTTCGGTCTAGTTTGCAGTGATCATTTTTTCAGGGTCAAAATTTGCCCAAGAGTGTTAAAAAACAAATGTTTATATGAAACATTGTTGAATTTTTGTAAAACTTTTCAGTTTTTTTTTGTGTAACCTTTTATAAGTTCAAAACTATATATGGAATAAGGGAATCTTGTTTATTTTGTACTAACCCCAATTCTATCAGAGTGCTGATATCTCGAGCACAACCTTGGCTCTTTTATTACAACTTAAGTTTGTTTTTCCTCGGGGTTTTCTTAAATATAATAAAAGCAAAGCTAAATAATAATACAACGTAATGGATAAATATAGCTTACATGAAGTAATATAGATGGATGGAATTTCTTTTTTATTTCTAAATAGGTAAAAGATGTTTTCACTGATTTAATATCAAAATAAATTTTAAAAAAGTAGAATTTTTTTTAATTCAAAACGCCTTTCTTATTACGAAGTGGATGATTTGCAAATCTGCCTTTAAAGCGAATAAACCAGAAATTAAATTTTCATCTTACTTTTAATTCCAGAAAACATCTCTACACTCTAATTTAATCTTAAACATGGCTTGCTCTCAGTGCAGTTGGAGTTCAGTATGAAAGGGAGTGTTCACAAAAATTGAAAGGGGGTATAGGCTTACGGCGAAAATATGCGATTTTGATCGCTACGAATCTTACTTCAATCTATAAGGAGAAAACTGTTAAAAACAACTTATACTGAAGAACGTAGCGTCCATACAAACTCAGAAAGTTGCAACATTCAACTTGGATCGTAAAAATCAATTTAATTAAAAAAATCATTTAGTTACTACAACCAATAATCTTCTATTATTTTTCGACGCATTCGTATATAGTTGATATTTCATAATAGTTTTTATTTTTTATGATCTGAGAGTAACTTTTGAATACATTTATTCCTGTTTCGAGGATTATTGATAATGAAGACGACATTTTCATATTTTCCAGGAATGTTCGAAAATCCAGCGCCAACGAAATATTATTTAAAAAAATCAAAAAATGATTTGCTTGGAAGTAAATTGATTATTTTACGATCAGAGTTGAATGTTGCAACTTTCTGAATTTGTATGGACGCGATTCGTTCTTCGGTATTAGTTGTTTTTAACAATTTTCTTCTTATAGACGCAACAGAGATAGAAGTAAGAATACTAGCGATCAACAGCGCTTATTTTTCGCCGTAAGTCTTTACCCCCTTTCATTTTTCTAGACCACTCCCTTTTATGAACGCCGAGATTTTCCCAGAAAAGACATCATCATGTTAGAAACCCGTACTCAAGAATTTTTTTAGAGTCAAAATGATTTAAAATAAATGCTTATAAATCTGTTGTTAACGAAATTTAACTATACAAATATTAGTAATGCCTTAAGAAATGGATCAAAATGCGTTGCTTTTTTAAAAATGATTGTTTTCACTACCCCTGTAGTATATTAGGGACTTACAGGTTGTCACACATAATTTCAGATCGTCTTCAGATCTAAATTGAGAATTAAGGTATTATTTGATCAGAAAATTAAAAAGTTAATAAATCATTTGAAAAATTGTATAAAGCTAATATAAAAAATGTCTTTCAGAAAATACCAGATTTTTTAATATTAGTGAGTTAAAGTTTGGAGATAATATCTAATACGCTATGGAACACTCGATGTATCTAAAGTTTTATAAGGCTGTTAATCGTACAGTTTACATTTAGATATAGTTTATATTTAGATATCTCTGTACAATCATGAGACTGATCGAGCTCCAAACTTGTCAGGAAAATCTCATGATCCCAGATCCCAGGTTTCAGTGAATGTTCATGGATGTTTAAAAAATAATGTTTTTTTTTTTTTGAAAATGCGACAGTTTTAACCGAAAATCTCCGAAAACAAATTGATAAATAAATTATGTAGACTTCGAAGCAAAGCTTAAAGGTTGTTAATTTTACAAATTGTTAATTGCATTGAATGAGTTGACAAAAAATCCTTTAAAGGGACAGTAAAGGAAAAATGAAAGGGGTATAGGCTGAAAGCTAATCACTTTAGCTCTTGATCGTGACCCATGAAAGTTTTATCTGATGTTCCTGTCTCGAGAAATTTATATAAAACTGTGTTAAAATTATACGAAAGTTCATATATGTAAAATTTAGAAAATCTTAAACTTAAATCACGTGACCAGAACTATCACCAATGGCAGAGCAGTATATTGGTCACGTGTCTCCGCCTGTATCACGTGACCACTTTACTGCACTGCCATTGGTGGAATTTCTGGTCAAGCAATACGGACGTATATAAATAATATGAATTAAATCTATAAAAAATATAAATAACAAATATAAAATTAGAATTGGAGTAAATCTAAGTTACAATTAGCTTTCTCTGGGATATCATCGTTTTCAGATTCGTTGCATATTTGCTGAATTTGATCTTTTTAAACCCACTACTTTTATACAAAATTGTATATATATTAATTTTCGTATAAATTTGACAAAGTTGTAAATCATTTTCTCGAGATAGGAACATCAGATATAACTTTCATGGGTCACGATCGAGAGCTAAAGTGATTAGCTTTCAGTCTATACCCCCTTTCATTTTTCCTTTACAGTCCCTTTAAAGTAAACCAAGAGTGTAAAAAAAAAAGATTGAATACACGGTCTCATCTTTTTGGATAATATAAATATGTTTTAAGAACAGAATTATAAATTTTTTGCATTAACATTAAAAATCCCCCCCCCCCCCTCTCTCTTACAATATCAACTATGGCGTCTTACGGTCTTTATGATTTATATTCTCGAAAAAAATTGGGATTGTAGTAAAAGTCGTCTTACAAAATGATCAAATTTGCTTTATCGGAAATCATCATAGATATACAAGAATTCGCCAAAGTATCACCATCATCCCAAGAGATTTAATAGTTTGAAAGGTCTTCCAACTTTAATGTGTTCTTTGTGTGTAAGGGGAGTCTGATTGTCATCATTATCACTCGCATATCGGTAGCAAGCTGCATTTAATCTTCGTTCTAATCCTTAGAAATTCGAAACTTTTAACTAGTCCGTCTGCAAAATTTGTAAACATTCCCCATAAATTTGTATACAGAGTACAAAGATACTTGCCGCAAACCTTTAAATGTACTGTTTGTCAGTTGCTAGTACCATAGCTAAATTGCCATTTTCTTAAGCTTAAGCACTGCGGATTGTGAAGACGACATAAGCGATCTATATTCTTGCATATCTATAAGAAATCATGATAATAACTAAAAAGTAAAATATCCGAAAACCGTATTAATTATCTTTGCAAGAGTCATAACAAACGCTTATTAATAATATTCAGAAGCTAATTATATGAATATGATTCATCTACAATTATTAGAATACATACAGACTACAGTAATTACCAGAAAACAATGGACTATGAAGGCGACATTTGGAGGTACTTTTTGAAAGGCCGTTACCAAATGAAGCGGCAACTTCCCAAGTCTGTCAAAGCCGCAGCACTCGGCCCCTAGCCTTTTCTAGCCACAGCGCTTGGTCCCTTAGCACATCCAAGCCGCAGCACTCGGCCCTTTTATCGTTAATTATTTTATATATTTATGCCAAAAATATATTCAAATTACGAATGTTCAATTTTCATTTCTTTGAAATTAATTCGTTCTTTTTACTCTTTAATCGTTAAGTGCAAAATCATAAATCTGTTAATTAATAAACATTGAACAAAGCAGTATTACATCTATCACATATTCTTCGTTTAAATCAAAGCTAATTGTCGTCTCATTTTAAAATTAAATGCTCTTTACAAAAAAATGTAAAAAAAAATCTCAAAACGAATTTTTAAAGCTCGCCTGAAGTGTAATTACAATATTTTTTTGGACATCCCGGCCAAGAAGATTAATTAATGATAACAATTCTATTTTTTATCGAGAAATTTGCAGATATCTGAACACGTGGTTAATATCTACTTATTCTAAACATAAGGTTGATATCTGCTGTTTTCTGAACATATGGTTAATATCAGCTGTTTTCTGAACACACGGTTTATATCAGCTGTTTTCTGAGCACGAGGTTGATATCAGCTCTTTTCTGAACACGAGGTTGATATCAGCTGTTTTCTGAACGCGAGGTTGATATCAGTTATTTTCTGAACGCGAGGTTGATATCAGCTGTTTTCTGAACACGAGGTTGATATCACTGTTTTCTGAACATGGTTGATATCAGCTGTTTCTGAGCACGAGATTGCACAGCTGTTTTCTGAGCACAAGGTTTTATAGCAGCTATTTTCTGAACACGAAGATGACATCAGCTGTTTTCTGAACACGAGGTTAATAGCAGCTGTTTTCTGAACACGAGGTTGATATCAGCTGTTTTCTAAACGCGAGGTTGATAACAGCTGTTTTCTGAACACGAGGTTGATCTATGAATAAATATTGACAAGGTTCCAGATTATGAGAATTGTGAAGGAGATTACGTAGATCATAAAACAAACCCACCAAACTTTAATCTCCCAACTTATTACACGGAAATTCCTAAAAATAAAATAGATGAAATAAAATATCAATTTTGTCTTTACGTTAATGTATTCTAAAAGATAAAAGAATCAAAGGAACAAAGGAACTGAGTTATTGCCACAAACTCTGACTTTGCATCCAATTATATCGGAATTGTAGCAAGTACTCAAATCCTTTGTACAGTGATGAATAGGAAAACAGCATCACGATCGTTGGCTTTTTTATTTTGATTAAAAATAATGCAATGGATTGCAGAATTTCTGCTTTATATCCGAATATGAGACCTGAACTTTTGAGCAAAGTATCGATGTTCTTTAACGCCTGAAATTGATAGTGGGCACGTTTATAGAGGATAAATGCTTGACTCTCAATTAAATTTATTCCTGAAGATAAACCCCACGGGATATAGCAGAGGAATTAAATCAATTCGCAGGTCAGCATAAGATAAAGATCAATTCACAATACAAAAGTTCTGGCTCCTTAATTTTGTTTGTTCGATAAAAATGTTTGAAAATAATTATAACAGTTTATAACAAATAAAAAGCTTAATTCCAACATTTCAAATGAAAAAAAGAATTTTTGAATTATTTATTTCAGTATATTTGAAAAGTTTTCAAAAATTTATTTTGCTTTACCTTAGTGTTACAACGCCAAGGAAAAGTCCAACAAAAGCTCCTGCAAGATGGGCCCCATAACTCACCTTATAAATAAACAATCGTATAAACAGAGATATATTTTCATCAGTTGGATCTTAAACAAAAAAAAATTGTGCAAATCAGGGAGAGACAGAAAATGTTCTTTAATACGATAATGTATTTTTTAATTGTGTTGCATGGATATTAAATGACCCTTAAAAATGGGCTATCTTTAAAATGCCCTGCATCTATTAAATATACTATAGAAATGTCCTGTCTATGAAAAGTCCTGTCTATGAAATTTCATTTCTATGAAATGTCATGTCTATGACATGTCCAGTATATAAAATTTCTATAGAAATACTATGAAATGTCTTGTCTATGAAATGTCCTGTCTATGAAATGTTCTGTCGATGACATGTCCTGTCTATGAAATGTCCTGTCTATGAATTGTCCTGTCTATGAAATGTCCTGTCTATGAAAGGTCCAGTCTATGAAATGTCATATCAATTAAATGTCCAGTCTATGAAATGTCCTGTCTATGAAATTTACCATTCATGACATGTCCTGTCTATGAAATGTTCTGTCTATGACATGTCCTGTTATTGAAATGTCCTGTCTACGAAATGTCCTGTCTTTGAAATGTCCTGTCTATGAAATGGCCTCTCTATAAAATTTCTTGAAAAAGAAATGTTCTGTCTCTGAAATGTCCTGTCTATGACATGTCCTATCTAGAAAATTTCTTGAAAAAGAAATGTTCTGTCTATGAAATGTTCTGTCTTTGAAATTTCCTGTCTATGAAATGTCCTGTCTATGAAATGTCCAGTCTATGAAATATCCTAACTATGGAATGTGTTGTCTATGAAATGTCCTGTCTATGAATTGTCCTGCCTATTAAATGTCCTGTCTATGACATGTCCCATCTAGAAAATTTCTTGAAAAAGAAATGTCCTGTATATGAAATGTCCTGTCTATGAAATTTCCTGTCCATGAAATGTCCTGTCCATGAAATGTCCTGTCTATGAAATGTCCTGTCTATGAATTGTCCTGCCTATTAAATGTTCTATGAAATATCCTGTCTATGAAATGTGCTTCATCTATGAAATATCCTAACAATCGAATGTCCGGTCTGTGAAATGTCCGGACTTGAAAATGTCTATCAATATAGTTCCGTTCAATTAAATAGAAATAGATTATTTATTCTGATATGTCCCCCCTACTATCGTATTCTGATATGTCCCCCCTACTATCGTATTCTGATATGTCCCCCTACTATCGTATTCTGAAAATTGGCAAATATCTTGGTGAAAACTGCGCCTATTGTCTGGTCTCATATTTTCAGGTGTTTTCTTGTTCAATCCAGCCTTTTTCTCCCTTTTCTCTGGCACTTACAGTGTGTGCAGACTTTTCTTCAGTTCTAATCCATCATCAAGTTTTAAAATAGAAGACAAATCTATTTTCAATCAGATACTTTACCTCTACAAGACACACGCCGAGGTAAATAAGTTTTCTTTGCCTTTTTTTTGCATCTATTTTATACACAAGGTTACAATTTTATTTCAGATTAGCTTGGGAACCATGTTTTGCCTGGCAATATAAAATTTCTTTGCGTAAGTTGACCAAACTTAACCCTATCTCTGCTGGGGTACTTGAAAACCAGGATACGCTGGGGGGGGGGTCAATTTGACCCCCCCCTCTAAATCCCATGTTTGATGTCCAAATATGACAAATTATACATCATTAGAAAGCTCTTGTGCTCTACTTTTAGAATCTGTCATAATAATACTAATAAATAATTCTTATGAGTATGAAGCTATGAGAATTAATTATCAATTAGCTTTTTCATGAAGTCAAACCTTAAAGAAATTTAACGTATAAAAACAGCTACGTATAGCAACAAGGCGTATTTTCCGGGAGAACATTTTTTATGTTTTTGAGAAATTAAACGTTTTTGTAAAACATTGTAGCTTATCATTATCATTATCATAATTTCTATTTTGTAACATACCCCAGGCATTAAAGGGACAAAATAGTTTAATATGTACATTTGTACTGCTCTCTATTGTGTTTAAGGTGCCCCAGATTTTATTATGTACTGACAATATAAATGAATGATTATATGGTTATACATAAAATTGCGTGTTACTATTTAAAAAAATATTTTATAAAAATGCTATCTAATGTTTTGTTTTCAGAAAAAAAAATTCTTAAAAGTATAAAAAAAAATTTCTCCAGTAATGCTAATATGATTTCATAAAATTTCGTTTTACCATTTAAAAAAAAGGATTTTATGAAAATTATATCTACTTTACACCTATTATTTAATTTCTCAAAAATATAAAAAATGTTCTCCCGGAAAATACGCCTTGTTGCTATACCTAGCGGTTTCTATACGTTAGATTTCTATAAGGTTTGACTTCTTTTTCATAAGGTTGTGAACTTGTAACTTTGACAACGAAATCATAATATTAAAAGTATGAATTTTAAATTAAATGGGAAACAGAATCTTGTGTACGCTAAGTTTTTATATTGAATATTGATATACATATTTCTTCTAGAATTGTCTTGTAAAGCTCAAAGTCTTTGTTTTAAAAGGAAAAGTGATGGATTACTTCAGAAGAGAATCCATCTTTATCAAACTTTATCTTCAAGGTTAAGTGTGTACAAAGTTTAGTGTAGAACATTCTTCTTGTATTCAAGGTTTAGTGTAGAATAATCTTCTTGTGTTCAAGGTTTAGTGTAGAATAATCTTCTTGTGTTCAAGATTTAGTGTAGAACATATTCTTGTGGTCAAGGTTAAGTGTAGAATATTCTTCTTGTGTTCAAGGTTAAGTATAGAATATTTTTCTTGTATTCAAGGTTTAGTGTAGAATATTCTTCTTGTGTTCAAGGTTAAGTGTAGAACATTCTTCTGTGTTCAAGGTTTGGTGTAGAATATTCTTCTTGTTTTCAAGGTTAAGTGTAGAACATTCTTCTTGTGTTCAAGGTTTAGTGTTGAACTTTCTTCTTGTGTTCAAGGTTAAGCATAGAATATAATTCTTGTGTTCAAGGTTTACTGTAGAACATTCTTCTTCTGTTCAAGGTTTAGTGTAGAACAGTCTTCTTGTGTTCAAAGTTTAGTGTAGAACATTCTTCTTGTGTTCAAGGTTAAGCATAGAATAATCTTCTTGTGTTCAAGGTTTACTGTAGAACATTCTTCTTCTGTTCAAGGTTTAGTGTAGAACAGTCTTCTTGTGTTCAAAGTTTAGAGTAGAACTTTCTTCTTGTGTTTAAAGTTTAGTGTAGAACATTCTTCTTGCGTTCAAGGTTAATCGTAGAAAATTCTTCTTGTTTTCAAGGTTTAGCGTTGAACATTCTTCTTGTGTTCAAGGTTAAACGTAGAATATTCTTCTTGTGTTCAAGGTTAAACGTAGAATACTCCCTTGTGTTCAAGGTTTAGTGTAGAATAGTTCTTGTGTTCAAGGTTCAGGGTATAAAATTCTTTTTGTGTTCAAGGTTTGGTGTAGAATATTCTTCTTGTTTTCAAGGTTAAGTGTAGAACATTCGTCTTGTGTTCAAGGTTAAGTGTAGCACATTCTTCTGTGTTCAAGGTTTGGTGTAGAATATTCTTCTTGTTTTCAAGGTTTAGTGTAGAACATTCTTCTTGTGTTCAAGGTTTAGTGTTGAACTTTCTTCTTATGTTCAAGGTTAAGCATAGAATATTCTTCTTGTGTTCAAGATTTACTGCAGAACATTCTTCTTGTGTTCATGGTTTAGTGTAGAACTTTCTCCTTATGTTCAAAGTTTAGTGTAGAACATTCTTCTTGTGGTCAAGGTTAAGCATAGATCTTCTTGTGTTCAAGGTTTACTGTAGAACATTCTTCTTCTGTTCAAGGTTTAGTGTAGAACAGTGTTCTTGTGTTCAAAGTTTAGTGTAGAACTTTCTTCTTGTGTTTAAAGTTTAGTGTAGAACATTCTTCTTGCGTTCAAGGTTTAGCGTTGAACATTCTTCTTGTGTTCAAGGTTAAACGTAGAATATTCTTCTTGTGTTCAAGGTTAAACGTAGAATACTCTTCTTGTGTTCAAGGTTTAGTGTAGAATAGTTCTTGTGTTCAAGGTTAAGGGTATAACATTCTTCTTGTGTTTAAAGTTTCGTGTAGAACATTCTTCTTGTGTTCAAAGTTAAGCGTAGAAAATTCTTCTTGTTTTCAAGGTTTAGTGTTGCACATTCTCTTGTGTTCAAGGTTAAACGTAGAATATTCTTCTTGTGTTCAAGGTTTAGTGTAGAATAGTTCTTGTGTTCAAGGTTTAAAGAACATTCTTCTTATGTTCAAGGTTAAGTGTAGAATATTCTTCTTGTGTTCAAGGTTAAGTGTAGAATATTCTTCTTGTGTTCAAGGTTAAGTGTAGAATATTCTTCTTGTGTTCAAGGTTTAAAGAATATTCTTCTTGTGTTCAAGGTTAAGGGTAGAAAATTCTTCTTGTGTTCAAGGTTTAGTGTAGAATATTCTTCTTGTGTTCAAGGTTTAAAGAACATTCTTCTTATGTTCAAGGTTAAGTGTAGAATATTCTTCTTGTGTTCAAGGATTAAAGAATATTCTTCTTGTGTTCAGGATTAAAGAATATTCTTCTTGTGTTCAAGGTTTAAAGAACATTCTTCTGATGGTAGAACCATTAATATTTTACGACACAAACATCTCTAATATAATGTGCATTTAACATTTAACACTGCAGAAAAGGGGTTAAAAAATTACAGTTTTGAATGAGCATGAAAAATTTGAATTCACCAAAAACCTTACTTTGTTGTGTATTCCACTCCCAATATGTCTATTAATTATTGCCACTGCTATATCAGTTCCTGAAATTAAACCTTTTTGAACAATTAATTCATTGAATGCAAGAAAAAAACTGTCTACGATTAATTCATTACTGAATCAGGGATATTTCATCCATTTATAGATAAACATTGTTGGATGAAAAGAATCGTGCTTTTTTGCCACAAAATAAGATTTTCTATTCCTTACATTTTTCAAGCTGGTAGTTTAAACCTTTAATATTTCAAACATTCAAATTTTGCAGTTTGAAATTTCTAAAGTCTAAAGACATTGGGTTGCAAAGATACAGGGATTAGAAAATCAGAGATTGTGAAAGATTGCTTTGTTTGACCTGCTACAATTAAAAAGATGGTGAGACGTATGCACGGGTACTCCATTTCATTCCAGTTTGTGATCACATTTGCTGAACAAATGAATTTTTTTCTTGGATTAATCTTATTCATTATTTGACGGACATCAAAGAGACTGTTGGTGTAATCACAAGTTACCCTCCATTTAAAAAGGTTGTCGGATTCACAACAACTGTAATCTTTAAACCTTCCTCTATTTAAATATATCGATGATCCGAACGGTGGTTTACTATAAAAGTAATTTGTGTAAAGATGCAGCAAAGACAAAGACTAAATTAAGCAAAATTCATCATGGTTTAAGATAAAAAACGACGATATAATTTCCATTGATACTCCGATAAAGGTATAAAGTGTACATGTGTGAATCGAACTCTCCTGAGCTGTGAACTTTAGAATGGGATACCTTTAATCCCGACTGCTTAATCCTAATATCCAATGTGGACACTTTTAATTTTTTGTCTTATCCATTCTTTTTTGGACATAGCACAGAAAATCAAAAACCGGTTTTTCAAAATTAGAGATTTTCTCCCGTTTCTGTATAATAATCTTAAATGGCGCGCAAAATTTCAAATTTCCCGGCTTCTGATACGCGACTCTGATTGGTTGATTATTTTGCACTTTTCAGGATACAAGTACAAGATTAGGTTAGTCTTGAGATTAAGAAAAAGAGAGGATCAAGCATTGATCTCGATATCCACCATTCTGAAGTTCAAAGCTCTGATTATATATATTGTTCGTATTATATATGTTGAGAGGCATTTTTTAACTTAACAGTCTACATGTTTTGGTCGATGTAAAGTAGACATCTAAATCCTCAAATAGACTTTAAAATTTAATAGTTTTTAATAAAAAATACATGTTTCCACGAGTTTACATGGCATTCAAATTTAAAATTTGACTATTTTAAAGACATTTTTTTCAACTATGCGTGCTGAATCGCTGATATTAAACCATACTACTCAAATAGAATTCAAGTTTAAAATTTGACAGTTTTTGACTTGCATGATTTAACTAGGTGTGCTGATATTAGACTGTATAGTAATATATTTACTACTCTACAAAATGTTCAAGTTTCAAATTTGACAGTTTTAAAGACATTTTTTTTAACTATGTGTGCTTGGAACTATATTACTCAACATGACATTTAAGTTTAAAATTTGACAGTTTTTTGCAGAAATAGATTTCACATAAAAATACATTTTTCACCTAGGTGTGCTGTTATTTAACTATATACTACTCAACAAGGCATTCAAGTTTAGAATTTGACAGTTTTCGCAGAAATAGATTTCACATAAAAATACATTTTTCACCTTGATGTGATGATATTAGACTGTATACTCCTCAACAAGGCGATTAAGTTTAAAATTTGATAGTTTTGAAAAATTAGAATTTAAATACATTTGTTGACCTAGGTGTGCTGTTATTAAACTATAAACTCCTCCGCTCGCCCCAGCCAGGTATACAGACGGATCCACGAGAGACACTAAAATAAAATAGAATAAGATAAAAAAGTGTTTTTAAATATTTTTAAGAAAGTAGTTTTTTACATTTAATAAAAGTTTATATTACTAATTTTTTTATATATTCGAAATATTAAAGGGAACGACAACTATATACTAATAACCCCAAAACTTTATACTTATAACCTACCTACCTATGACCCAAAAAGTATCTCCTAATGACCCAAAAACTACCTACTATTGCATTGACCCAAAATCTACCTAATAATGACCAAAAACTATCTTCTAATGACCCAAACACTACCTAATAATGACCCAAAAACTACCTACTAATGACCCAAAAACTACCTACTAATGACCCAAAAACTACCTACTAATGCATTGACCCAAAAACTACCTACTAATGACCCAAAAAGAACTCCTGAGATATAAATAAATAAAACCCTCCACCATCTATGAACCATCTCCAAAGGAATTCCCAAAATCAACTAAAATAGATCAATGATAAATTAGGAAACATTTATAAAAAAATAATGTCAAAAGTTTATATACGAACAAGTATAAACCCATCAATTCTTTGAACAAATTGCCAAATAGTTAAAATTTAAAAAATAAAATTAACATCAGCATATTAATTAGATGTTCGTTAATTTTTTTAAAAGAACAAAATTTCTAAATATTTCTCAGAATCCTACATTACCTGAATTAAGATATTAAATATGATATGAAAGTATCCACTGTGAACAAACATATAAGTAAAATATCTCCATAATTCCTTCTTCTTGTTAGGATTGAAGATAAATATACTCTAAACAATAAAATAATTAGAACCCTGCATTTCAAAGTAATCTAGTATTGTTTTACAAAAGTTGCGTTTTATCTAACAAGACTCAGACTTATTGTGGACTAGAAAGAATGCTTTTGATTTTTCAATCTACTACCTAAACAATTGGCTTTATATCAACAAAATATGAACAAGATTTCTTGTATCATGTTTTCCTATTCAACAGTATTATAGGCGCGCCTCACTATATTTTAGAAGAATGAATCATCTTATATATTTGTAATCCGCAAAATTGTTTTTATTAAGAGAGTTTGGCTGTGGGATTCATCCCCTTTACAATACCTGAATATATACAGGACCTTCATGATTCATCCTAACCCCCTTTACAATACCTGAATATATACAGGACCTTCATGACTCATCCTGACCCCCTTTACAATACCTGAATATATACAGGACCTTCATGATTCATCCTAACCCCCTTTACAATACCTGAATATATACAGGACCTTCATGATTCATCCTGACCCCCTTTAGAATACCTGAATATATACAGGACCTTCAACCCCCTTTACAATACCTGAATATATACAGGACCTTCATGATTCATCCTGACCCCCTTTACAATACCTGAATATATACAGGACCTTCATGATTCGTCCTAACCCCCTTTACAATACCTTAATATATACAGGACCTTCATGATTCATCCTAACCCCCATTAGAATACCTGAATATATACTGGACCTTCATGATTCATCCTAACCCCCTTTAGAATACCTGTATATATACAGGACCTTCATGATTCATTTTAACCCCCTTTACAATACCTGAATATATACAGGACCTTCATGACTCATCCTAACCCCCTTTAGAATACATAAATATATACAGGACCTTCATGATTCATCCTGACCCCCTTTACAATACCTGAATATATTCAGGACCTTCATGATTCATCCTAACCCCCTTTACAATACCTGAATATATACAGGACCTTCATGATTCATCCTGACCCCCTTTACAATACCTGAATATATTCAGGACCTTCATGATTCATCCTAACCCCCTTTACAATACCTGAATATATACAGGACCTTCATGATTCATTCTAACCCCCTTTAGAATACCTGTATATATACTGGACCTTCATGATCGACTGTTTTCCCCTCTGTGTTTAGATACGTCAACTCTATTATGAAAACCACAATCTACAAATACAACCAAACATTCATCTTATTTAAACAATATACAAAAAGACAGAAAAAATGTTATCGCCCTAGTTCTGTATCAATTTAGTATCATGTTTCTGTATCAATTCTGTATCACATTTCTGTATCAATTCTGTATCACATTTCTGTATCAATTCTGTGTCATGTTTCAGTTTCAATTCTGTATAAATTCTGTATCAGTTCTGTATCAATTCTGTATCAATTCTGTATCAATTCTGATCTTGCTTTTTAGGATTTAGAATTTTTTTCTGAAGGAACTGATTTTTTACAACTGTATTTAAGACATAAGCAGAATGCATAGTTTTACATATCTTTACAATCTAATGTCGTAAAGCTGTGATATTTCAAACTGTAAATTCTGTACGATCAAATAATCTAATTTTACACCATCGGATTCAGGTTTCAAAGAAATAAGGATTAGAAAAGTTGAGTGTATTGTGGAAAAGATTGAATATTGTTATCTGGAAACCAACCTGTAGAATGGAAATTGTTAAAAGGAAACATGGTGGAGGTTTACAACTGTACTCATCCAAATAATCTAGTCGAGCGCTTCTACAACAAATCATTGTTTAAAATCTTTACGAGAGAAAACATTCAGGTTTACTTGTTAAACCAGACCTGGGAACTCTTGTATTGTGGATATCGAGATCAAAGCTTGATTTTCAACTGCAGATTATAATTTTTATTCAATCTTTTATCCCGCTTGGTTATCGTACCCTAGAGTAATAGCTTATATGAAGAGATTAAGCATTGATCCTCAAACTTAAAGTGCCCACAGTGGATATCGAGATCACACAAAAGTTACCAGATCAGGGAGTCAGGGGGCATTGGTTAAATATTAAAGAGATTTTTTTTTCGCCAATCATTTCCTTAAAACTCCAAACTTTATAAATGGTGTGTTTCACTAAACATGAAAATTTCTTAGTGAAATATAATAATAATATTTAATAACAAAACTATAAACTTAGTGAAATATTAGAATTTGTCAATTTACAATTGGTCATTTTACATTGTCTGGATATATATTTGATGTGAATAACTAAACTTTCTTATTTTGTAGTGTGCGAGGTTTTGGCGCCAATATTCGTGGATTTGTCACGCTAGTCTTCAAGTAAATTGATTTTTTCTCAGCTAAAATTGACCAAATGGAAGGCCAAGTTGTCAAAGTTGACAAAGATGACTAGATAGACAACTATAACATGTAAATAATTATGACAAAATGCAAATTGAGTAAATTCAACCCAGGCTGTATGTAGAACTATATATTTTTACCAAGGAGTATTTAAAATTTTACCTTTTGTGATTGTTAGGCAATGCTAATGAAACGGCGGCATGATGTGCCCGTTTTTTCTGTTTTTTATAATTCATTCTGAAACATTCATTAGTTTTGTGTTGTTTTCAGAATAGGATTAATAAAATGTTAATATATTGTATTATGCTATGAACTGAAAGTTTTCCTTTTAATGGGAGGTTATAAAGGCATTTTCGACAACTTTCAATAAAACTATTTTGATTAAATTCATAATTCTAAAGCAACCACTGGTTATACATAAAAAAATTAAACATGGTGATATCTGATAAAGATACACTAGAGGCGAGCGTGACGTCATATGCGGATTCTATCTATCTATGCTTCGAAGACGACATCTTCCGTACATTGGAGCGCATCAACAGTAACCAACATTATTTCAGAACCTTGCAATACTCTGTCTTAAATTTCTGGCTCTATCTTTATAAATGGGTAAGACAATTTTGTAGTTATTCATTTTTAGGTTCGAAATATTATTTCCTTTAATATAGATTTTTCATTTTCTAATTCTTAAAATTATCTACACAGATGTATAGACCACTCTCCACTAAACTCTACTATTTCTTCGGTCAGAGTACTGTAAATCACTGTAGTAAACACCGAAAGCTTAGTTGAGGGTAAGGTACAAAAAAGAAACTGGGAACTTTCATTTAAATGAATTTTTTTTTATTTCCGCTTCAGTGTCCTTGTTTGTTTTTAAAAGGCGTACAATATCAAAATCAAATATGATAAAATATGATATGATAAAATATGCTTATCCCAAGTAAAAATCTAAAATAAAAAGCTCGTCGCTCATATATTTATATATATGTTAGCTATAGCTGGCCAAACGGCTAAACCAAATTGGCCGATTTTTTAGGAAACCCATGGGCACCAACGTTGGGCACTAGCCTGAAAAAAAGATTCGTTTTTTCCATATATTTTCTCTAGGCGACAAATGTTAGAAAGTAACAAATATAAAGAAAAATATTATTTAGAAAGGAATTGAGTCTTTGCCACAAACCCTGATTTTTAAATCCCTTTATTTTTAGAACACAATGTCGTAGACCTTAAATATTTCAAACTATGAATTGCCTTAGTTCAAGTGATCTAAGTTTGAAATATAAAAGGTTTCCACCAATAGGTTGTCAAGATATAAGCATTAGAAAATTTGAGTTTGTGACAAAAACTCAATTCCTTTAATAACTTTTCAGATTGCTATGGAACCTTTTAAACGTCCAAAAGCTCTGATAAACGAACCAAAACTGTAGCTTTGGCATCTTCTCTTGAATTCAACGGAGCGATTAAGCTGGAGAAGTGTAAGGTTTACACAGACTGTTTCTAAAGTATGGTTAGTATAAAACTAATAAAAGTAGAAAAAGAAAGTTGAAGTTACTGTAGCTACAGCCTAATGGAAATACAGACCTTTATAAAATTCATATATCTATATAATAAAACTATTCATACATATATGTTGCGTATAGTCGGCCAAACGGCCGAACCAATTGGGCTGAATTTTTTTTATGGACACTCTTGTGTGGCCAGGGGGGGTGTTTTAGGCTTAAAAAATCGAATATATTTTTTTTCGTGACCCACCAGCCCCTGTACTAGCTACAGTAGCTACAGCTATAGTTGACCCACCAGCCCCTGTACTAGCTACAGTAGCTAGACCTATAGTTGACCCACCAGCCCCTGTACTAGCTACAGTAGCTACAGCTATAGTTGACCCACCAGCCCCTGTACTAGCTACAGTAATGAGTCTGTGTGAATATATTTTGATATTACAAAACAGACAACATATTTATAATGTGGCCAAATCAGAATCTGGATATGTAAAAAAGAAATCTAAGTATAATTCGCTCAAATATAGATTAGGACACATTTACTTTTTCATAAAAAAAATTTTCACAGGCAACGCTGGGCCCTTCATATATATATATATATACATATATATATATTCATAACAACCAGAAGTTGATGTCAAATCATCAATTCTTAACCCTAAACAATATACGTACATAAAAGGAGTCTTGGCCAAAAATCAAATTCTAGAATCCCTATATCGACTTCGCAACTTGATGCTGTAATCCTTTGATATTTTAAAACTATATTATTTGATCTAACAGAGTTTGAAATATCCAAGGTCTACGACATTGGATTGAAAAGATACAGGGATAAGAAAATAAGAGTTTGTGACATAGACTCAATTTCATGACATGACACAAGGTTTATGTTTTCCTATATTAAATCGGAAATTTGTCTAGAAACATGGAAATCTGTTCAGATTTAATTCAGGCACTCTGGCATCAACTATAGTTTTTATAGATACACCCTGTTCATAGCTAATATCTATAGGATGGGGATGGGAGGGGATGCATATGTGGAGAATGGGGAGGATGTGGAGGATGGGGAGGATGGGGAGGGTTGGGATGGTGAGAATGGGAAGGATGGGGAAGATGGGGAGGATGGGGAGGGTTGGGATGGTGGGAGGGTGTTGAGGTTTGGAGGATGGGAGGATTGGGAGGATGGGGAGGATGGGAGGATGGGAAGGATGGGAGGATGGGAAGGATGAGAGGATGGGTACCAGGTATGAGTTGGTTCCAGGTGTGGCCTCTATAACTCCTCTCAACTCTAGAGTCCTCTGTCCTCCAGGCTCTCCTCCTCTAGTAGTATAAACTAACCTCTACTGGAGGATGATGTATCCTCTAGAAATCTATCATCCATCAACCAATCCTCCTGAACTTGACATACAGCTTATCCAGGTCTAATGGATCACCCTGACATCTTACGGAGAAAAATTGAAGGTAAAACTACGGTACATGAGTGTACAGTTTATACACAAATAGACGATATAACAGTTTTTGATAGAGAAACACTACAGCGTAATAAATCACGTACAATAAACAAATAAAACTAGAATTGGTCCTATAGTAAAATGTCGTGTTATTGGTATATTTGAACGTAATGAAAGATTTGTACATATTGGTATACATTCATTATACCCTAGGATCAATATAGGTTTATATAAATACGCAGTTGCCATAATATAACAAATATATTATTACATAGTTGAATACAGAACCCAAACCTTGGCACTGTACTGTACTAGTTCTTTTGTACGCAAATGTACGCAATCTAACTTATTCAGAAATAAAAAACTTATATTTTGGATATTCTATGTAAAGTACTGTTAGATTTTTTTTCCCTATTTGAACAGAGCCTTTGCCACAAGCTCAAATTGTCTTATCAATTTATCTTTGCAACCTGATGATATTGAACTAATAGAATTCATGTTTTGAAATATCTAAGGTCTATGCCATTGGGTTGCAAAGATGCAGAGTTTGTGGAAAATTATATTTCTTCCTATTTTTATCATTCTAATTCGCCTAATTTTGGAGTCAGGAATATTTTTATCTTGACAATCAATTTTTAATTTTTTTTTTGCGGGCAAAATTTTGCACGGAAACACTTTTATTTTCGAGATGAAATTTATATTTATGCATTAGAATATGAGACATCAAGTAATACATATCTATGTTCTCTTATGAAAAAAAATGTTTTCCCATCCAAAATCTTTCATCGTCCCAAAAGTTTGAAATATTTTGAGGAATTTCCAAAGAATAATCACTAGAATTCAAACCATGAGTTTTCTTCTTATTTTCAAGTTGTTGGTGCAATTTTACTTTAATTTTTGTCTTTCATCCATTTCTGCCATCTGATATATTTTTGTAATTTTACCTTTTACTAATTTTATGTTTTCGAATATAGAGACTTAATAACATGAAAATCTGCTTTTAACGAGATATTTTAGGAGTACATTATTGCTTCTAGATATAAATACATAATGAATAACAAGTAGTGCTGGGCGTCGTTCCTGAGGAACGATTGTTCTTTCAGGAGAACGAATGGAACGATCAAGAAAGATCCCATCGCGTCATTTCAAAAAAAGAACGAACGCTATAGAACGCGACCTTAAAAATGAACGATTTGTAAAGGAAGGGAACGGAATTTTTTGAAAAGAACGTTTAAAATCAGAAACTCGTTCTTATTATCAAGAACGCACTCTAAGTCGGGAACGCATTTTAAATCAGGAACAAGCATATTAAAGGAGAGAAAGATGAGTAGGTCTTCTCTGGTTCCATGGAATCCGACGCTCTAAAATTTGTATTTTATAATCCTACTTTGGGGATTTCATCCTCTGCAATATAATAAATAGTTTTGTGGCAGCACATTATAGATTGAAACATATTGTAGTGTGCACTTTTGAAACTGTGCAGTTTGCGTTGAATTTAATTTAATATTTTCAAAAAGTTTTGACATTTTACAAATTTTTAGCTTATTTGGCGGTGAAAATTATTTAACATTTGACTCTCAATATATGATAAGTACTTCTGGCATTCATTTAAAAAGTATCACAGTAGAGCAAATATACATATTTATTATTTTCAAATATATGAAAACTGAAAATTTCTCCGTCTGTAACACATGACAATGAAACTTCACTGCCATTGGTGGGAGTTCTGGTCACGTAATACAGACGTATTAATCATATTATCAATTATGAAAAATTATTATATTCAAATAAATTTCTCGAAACAGGAACATCAGATAGAACTAGTATAGATCTCGATCAACTCCTGAAGTTCTTAGGTTTCAGCCTATACCCCCTTTAATTTTTTTAATACAGTCCCTCTCCATTCTATCGATATATATTTTGTGACCCAAACTTAACTTCGTTAATAATAAAAAGTTCTGACTAACTTTCTATTCCTGTTTTACCACAGTCATTATATCAATACTTTAATAGATATTACTGTCTAATCCTTGGATATTTATGTTCATTAAGAAAAATACCCATTATTGATTTTATAAACTACTAGCTGAATTGCCGGCGTTGTCAGTGGAATTTTGCCCTACAGCTACAGCTAACATATATACACTTATATTCATATTTATCTGCGGAGAGCTTTGTTATATAATATATATATAAATATCTATTTTACGTTTGTTTTCCAGTAACATTCTTTTAATACTCAATTTAGGTTTCAATGCACAATACCTTTTTTTCGATTTCAGGAAAGTTTTACCAAATTTTGCAAAAACTTGCTTTTGAGAATAATAAAAAATTATGTTATACATTGACTAGTAAAAAACTACCCATTGAGAAAATGCACAACTTCTGCAGGAGTTTTGATATACAATACATGCGATAAGATTGGTTAAGCTAACCTGCCAGAGATCAATGAATATTCAACAATTATAAAAAAATAATTTCCAATTTAATATTTGATTTTATCCAGAATTCTGAGGTTAATGAGCTTTTTTAATGACAGAAAGGTGGATAAGATGGAACTCTGTGTCCCTGGAAGGACGGTTAAATCAAGCTAAATATTTACAAAAACATCGGAAAGAGAAAAAGATAGATTCAGACTTCAATACTGTCGTTTTTTCATCTACACTTGTATGCGTAAACAATACCCAGGAAGTTTTGTGTTGTGAATCTCAGGAACAAGCATTGAGTGGGAGCTAGGGTTCCAGCGAACGAAACGTTTCGCGAAAAAATGCAAAGAAATGCAAAAATATTTTTGTTCGTAATTCGCAAACCTTTTCGCGAAATTTCGCATTTTTTCGCGAAAATGAATGAAGCAAAAAATGCGAAAACAAAGCGAAATTTCGTTAAAAAATGTTAGCTAAAAATGTTTTCGCGGTATACAACACCTAAATCGGACTTATACCGATATACAACACTTATACCAAAATGAAGGAATCACGCATTTATCTCCCATTTAAAAGTGCTCACATTGGATATTGAGATCAAACATCTACCGTATTCTTCTCACACATAAGTTCCTAGCTCAAGGGTGAAAAGTACTTTCTACATCTATCTCTTTATCCAGGGGCGTACTTAGGAATTTGTCCCTGGGTGGGGGGGGGGGGGGCTTTGTTTTGCTATTTCTAGGTTGGTTCATCACCCATTGGGAATTCAAAACCCCTTGGAAACTATAGATCTCACTGATCCAGGAGGGGCTGAGCCCCCCTCCTTAATATTTATCTTACTGGATGGATGTGGGTTAAGTAAAGACCGTTTACTACTACGTTGGAAAAGAAATATGAACCTGTCTCGGAAAGTACAAAGTAGGGTCTATATATATCCACATTCCTTAACCAATACCAATTCTGTCTGGATTCTAGAGACTACTCCTGGTTTTACAGAAGGACGGGTCAACCAGAGCCGGAAATGGATTCTTTACCACAAACTCTGAGACATACCTTATATTCTTTACAGTTTAGAATAGGAAATAATCATAACTTATAAAGTGTCCAACTGGGAAATGTAGTTAACTCTGTGATAATATGACAATCTGATGATTGAGTGGCCAAGACTAAAACTTTTGTATTTTTTACATGTATGCAGGGTGTCCCAAGAGATGTAAGAATTTCTATATTTTCTTTATTCCGCGTGACATTACATTTTTGTAGTATTCTAGTTAAAATGGTTAAAATTACTAGTCTTGGGATTTCCAAAATGTGGTTTACCATTTTTGCGCCTTCAAGATTGACGGAGATATTAAGAAATCTGTCCAGATTCTAATTTATTAAACAACAACGAAATATTAAATATCTCCATAAATTTTACAGATACAAAGAAGGCAGACCACTTTTTAAAATGCTCAGAAGACGTTCTGTCTTTTTTTTGACACATTCTTTGACATTTAGCCACCAATCAAATACGATTTTAAAGTGATCTCGTATGCCCATGTTTATTGGGACACCCTGTACTGTACATAAACCGTCAGGACATTTGTTGGAAAAAGTACGCTAGATTCTGACGTGTGTATTTAGCTTAATCAACTACACTGATCAGTGTTATTAGGTGCAGTACGTGGAAAAGGGATATGAAAATAAACTAACATTTTGTGGGGGGAGGGGTGGTTTTATTCATGGTCTAAATTTGGGTTATATAAAGAATTGTAACTTTTTCTTCACCTTAATTGTACATGATAAAATGGTAAATGAAGACAACTTCTCATAATTATACAGTGCTCCCCAAAATAAAATGATAAGTATTGACTACTTTTCAAAATATACACTACAGTGCTCCCAAATTAAAATAATAATCATTGAAAACTTCTCTTAAATATACACTGCTCCTCAAAGTAATATGGTAAATGATGACTACTTTACATAAATATACAGTGCTCACCAAAATAATATGGTAAGCACAGACGACTTCTTTAAATATACAGTGCTCCTCAAAGTAATATGGCAAATGATGACTACTTTACATAAATATACAGTGCTCACCAAAATGATATGGTAAGCCTAGACGACGGCTCATAAATATACAGTGCTTTCCAAAATAATCTTCTTTTCTCACTTTCTCTTTCTTCCTTTCTTTCTCTTCTTATTTCTTCCTTCCATTTACAGCAACATACAGTAATAAAATGGTGAAGTGAAGACAAATTTTCTCTAATATGCAATCTTTTTTCAAGAAGCACTTATATTTATGAAAAGTAATCATCATTTACCATATTATTTTGGGGAGCATTGTATATTTATGAAAATTAGTTGTCTTTATTTACCATTTTATAATTTATGATTAAGGTGAAGAAAAAGCTACAACTCTTTTTATAACCCAAATAGACCATGTATAACCCCCCCCCCACGAAATTTTTGTTTATTTTCATTTCCCTTTTCCACGTACTGCAACTAATAACAATGATCAGTGTAGTTGACTAAGCTAAATACACACGTCAGAATCTAGCTTACATTTTCCTCCAAATGTCCTGACGGGGTACATAATAGCAATGATAGAGAAGAGTTGGTTTGAGGGGAGGGGGATGTTTATATCAAGCATTGAACTCAATATCATTCTTCCGAACGGCTAAGCCGATTTGGTTTGAATCTGGGGTCAAACCTCGCGCGGATGAAAATGGTCTTTAGAAATTTTATTGAATCTTAAATTTTCGAATTCTCCAATAAAAGCAATTAATCTGAAACATTTTCATCATTGTTAAATTGTGAATTATTTACGAGGTCGAGAACCTAATCCCGTTCAACCAGCTGTAAAAAGTCAACATATTTACTAAGAAAAGTATCATTGACAGCACATAATTAAACCTTCTCTTTTTAATGAGTGGCTCCCAATAAACGTCGCGACTGAGTTCAAATTTTATATGCAGGATCTTGCAAAATAATTTTAGAAATAATCATAAATTGAGAACATTCTAAATTTGCCACAGGACAAAAAATATATCAATATCATGAAAAATAAACAAGGAGCAAAGAAGGTATATCTAAAATAAATTTTAAACACATGTTATCATTTGGCCCATTTTAACATATCATTTTTAAAGATCAATATGGGAATCAAATGCCAACGATACCATTGAAAGCTTTGTCGGATCAAATATGAATTACATATCAATGTTAATAATTTTAAAATCTGGGTTTTTCTTTAAAAATATCTTCCTCATTATTAATTAATTCGTGCAAAAACTAATTTTGCATTTTTGTATATACAATATATTTATCATTAATAATTAAAGGTGTTTTCTCAATGCTTAGTGAATATATTTATATATATATATATATATAATCTGTAGGCTGCTGTATAGAAATATGTATAGTGCTATGATGTATGAACAAAGTCATACATGAAGTTTTCTATATATTCCTACCTTACATACACACACTTTATTCAATTATATATCAATATCTTCTTATGTATATATTGTACATCGACTATACTCTATACATTAGATATAATGAATAAATAATAAACATCATAGATATATTCAGAAAAATAAGTCTCGCATATCAAAAAATCTATTTCTGGAAGAATGTTATTTTATCGTGTTTATTTATTAACTGATAATTCTTAAACATTTTTTTATATTTTGATAATTTTAGAGTATTTAAGGATAAAATTCATTGATTTAATCAAATAATCTGAATATTGGTACAATTAATCACATTAATTAAATCAAGTTTTCGCAAAATCAAAATCCTTATCTTTGCAACCAAATATCGAGAATTTCATATATTTAAAACTATGAACTCTTTTTCATCAAACAATCACGATAATAACAAGTTTGAAATATCAAAGGTTTACACAATCAGGTTGAAAAGATATGGGGATTAGAAAATTTACGTTTGTGACAAAGACTGAATTCCTTAGTCTACGTCTTGAGGGTTCAAATAGACACATAGTTAGAACATTAAGTTTTTTTTGTCACAGATTCAGATTTCTTGTGTAATTTTTCAAATTATGGTCATTGGCAGGTTTAAAGTTGAGCTAATTTTCAAAAAAGAAGATGGACTTAAATATACAGGGTTACCCACAAACGCAACTTAAATATACAGCCTACAGGGTTACCCACAAACACGACTTAAATATACAGGGTTACCCTCAAACACGACTTAAATATACAGGGTTACCCACAAACACGACTTAAATATAGAGAGTTACCCACAAACACGACTTGAATATACAGGGTTACTCTCAAACACGACTTAAATATAGATGGTTACCCACAAACACTACTTAAATATAGAGGGTTACCCACAAACACGACTTAAATATACAGGGATACCCTCAAACACGACTTAAATATAGAGGGTTACCCACAAACACGACTTAAAACTCTTTAAATAAAATCTGCTGCCTTGAATGTGGTCTTTAAATGCAGCTTAATTATTTAATAATCTGGAAAAGAGAGAAAAAAGTTTAGGCTTGAATAAAATAAAATAACAGTATAAATTCCGTACAGTCGTCTCTGCAGTCTAATTCTTTGGTAGTTAATTAACCCTGTATATAAATTTCAATCTTGAATGATAAATGAGAAAATTACAATGTTTGAGTTTTTTAAAAGGTAACAAATTGTAAAGTTGAATTACAAAAGTCATTAAATCTTATTATGGAAACTTTAATTTTGTTGATTATTTCTTTAAATGTCAGGAATGTTAGTAAAACTCAAAACTTGTTTTCATTTGTATATTCTCCAGAGAACACTTCTCCAGAATCCCTAGACATCTAGATGGATACATTTCAACTAAAAGAAAGTCTCCGAAGAAAGAATTTGCAAAAGTATATCTCTCTCTTCTTTTGGCCCACAGCGTTATCATATCGTAAAATTATTCTTGTCAGTTTTTCTAGCTTTAGATATAATCTTTAAAGCATTTCTTTCATTGTAAAGTTATTGTAGAAATGAGAAATAGTAGAAAAGTGTCTTGTGCAATTTTTGCTTATAAGAAAAAATGGAGACATTCACAGAAATAAACACTTTCGTGTCAAAAAAACGACGTTATCTTCCACATTATTGATCAGGATTCACCGACAAAGATCAAACGACACAGGGTCAAACGACAAAGGGTCAAAAGTGCGACAAAGGGTCAAACGTCAAAAGGTCAAAATGATAAAAATATTTTTTGATTTCAATCATAGGAAACTCGCAACCCTCCTCTCAATTTTGTACATGGAGCTTTTATGTTAGAGATGGATATAATTGACCATGAGTCCGCAGCGCTCGGCCCAGAAAGTGTCTTAACCTAACCTAACCCTAAATAATAATAAATAAATACTAATTGTAACAGATGTCAAAATTAAAAAAATTTGCTCCTTTGTCGCATTTTTTGACCCTATGTCGTTTTACCCTTCGTCGTTTTACCCTTTGTCGCGCTTTTGACCCTTTGTCGTTTTACCCAGTGTCGTTTGACCTTTTGTCGTTTGACCCTGTGTCGTTTGACCCTTTGTCGGTGAACCTTGATCAGGTTAAGATTTCAAGGGTAATTGTAAATCTAGCATTCCTATCTTTGCAGGAGGGTCACTTAAATACACGCGCACAGTCCCTTTAAATCTGGAAATGTTGTCCATCTCTAACACTAATTAGATATATCTAACGTCTAAGACAGGTTGAACAGTTATATGGAAATTAGCGTAGATTCCCAGGCTTGAGATTCAAAAGTATTATTGCCCTTGAAAAGTTCTCATTCGCACATAAACCTACAAGTACCTGTCAAAAAATCTAAAGAAAGTTAAAGAAAATATAAATGCTCCATGCAGCTAAACTGCTACTTTGTGTCTGTCCAGTGCCATTAAATAATAGTATTCAGATAAATATTGGAGACATTTAAATGAATCTGACGTGAATGTGGTTTGTCTAATCTGACATGAATGTGGTTTGTCTAATCTGACGTGAATGTGGTTTGTCTAATCTGACGTGAATGTGGTTTGTCTAATCTGACGTGAATGTGGTTTGTCTAATTTGGCAGAAATGTTTGCTGCCAAATTACTGTTTACTCCTGGTCTAGACCTCAGTTTGGTAAAAGATGGAGGAGGGAAATTACAATAGATTTACCAGAATACATGTTCCAGAACCTTCCTTCAATACAAATAAATAAAGCCTTACTGACCATTAGGCATATTTTACTAAAGTAGTTATAAATGCGAAATTAAACATTGAGGCCCAAAATTCGATTGACTAAAATTTCTTCTGGCATACATTTGTATTGTAACAATTTAAGATAAAGTTGTAAGCAAACTTAAAACTGTAAAAACTTGTAAAAAAGCATATTTTATTTTAGATAGATAAAGTGTGGTGGTCAAGATGCCTCTTACATCGGCAATTCAGAGTGCCATGGCCATCCGCAATGAGCGGGAGCGTCGTGAGCAACGGCGACTCAGTAAAATCCGACGAGAAAGCGGAAGGCCAAGTATGGACGCGGAAATTGAAATCGCAATTGCTCCGAAGGAAAGTGATTCATCATCGGTGACAACATTTCACTTGGGAGTAGTGTTCATACTACTAGGTTAACCATCAACATAATACAGAATGACAACACTACTTAAGAGAATGCGGAAAAGGCAATGTACAATATAAGTTATTCCTTTTCTTTATCCCTGCAGTATCTAGACGTTGTTTACTAATGATTCTGTTCTATTCATCAAGAGTTGGTTCTTATATGGAGGCAAAATTATTTTTTTTCATTCATCGTCATTCAGGGTTGTCTGTAATATCGTTGATGGTATCTTTCAGGGTTCATAATGATCTTCTCGAGTATGATACCAAGCAGTATTATCGATGCAGACTGGAGTAGACTATTCGGTGTTGGAGTCTCATTTATATTCATAGGTAGGATATTTACTATTGGAGGAGAAAAATAAATATTCTTTCTTTTTATTTCTAGACAAATTATTCAGTGCCCGGTCCAAACTTCAAGACATAATAAATGGTTGATTTCCAGCAGCCGGATAATTTTTTTCCTCTGCGAAAACATAATTTTTCTCTTGTCGGTGTTTTTGTCTGTTTTAATGATATATAAGCCCTATTTTAAATATTAAATCACCCTGTTCTGCATCGGAATAATCCAGAATGTTTGTTTGTTTAGTTGTTTGCAGTTTACATTGTTCTGTGAAGTTTGCACTGGTATTGAGTTTGCAATGAAAAGATACGGTTTATCTTATTTATGAATATTTTCATTCAGAATAGTTTTTGAGAAGGCAATAATTTATCCAAAATCATTTCCCCAGGCCAAATACTGCATACAGAATATAGAAGTAATTTTCCTTTTCTTATTCCTGAGTTTGTGTACTTTCTACTGTCTATGCAGACAAAGAATAACAATTATCTGAGAAAATGGATTCAGATTGATGAGATCAATCTGTGTGAGGATGAGAGGTTAAGTGAATGGAAGAAGGTGNGGGGGGTAAAGAAGTATTGTGAGTTAAGAGAAGTCGGCTTGAAAGATATCTATATAAAGTTAGATTGCTGTGTTTGTAGGGATGGGAAATGGTGTAATTTGTTCTGTATTATGTTTGATATGAACACACTCTGAAACATGTCCAACTATCTAGGATTAATGATGGTAATGGTGAACCGTATTATAACTGCTCGAGAGGAGGAGGAACTAAGTAGGTATGTGAAACAACGTTTGTCCAGAACCAGATCAGGACATCCTTTTGTCAGGGATACAGACCCAGAGCAACCTCAACCACTTCCATCAGCGCTTAAAAAATCATGGCAAGGTCCTTCCCCATCTCCAAAGAGTCCTAAAGACAAAGTTACCTTCGCAGAGTTTAAAAATGAAGTATTCAGTGAGAATGAAAACAATTTACCGAGAAAACTCAGCGTTCCCCCTGATTTGACGGGTATTTTAAAAGAATCCGGAATAGTCGAGAATGGCACAAAGATTGTGCCAACAGTGACCCTTACAGACACATCTGAACTTGACAAGGAAGATAATTCATTGTCATCAGACAGACTTAGCCCCATTGCAGAAGCACAATCAGTTCCACTTATAAACATATGTGAAGCTTCGTCAGAGAGTCATATAGACTCAGATTTTGATGAACCTGAACCTGATGATTTCAAGGGAACTTTGGAATCAATTAATGGTGATAATGGTGATATCTTTTCTCCAACAAATGAAACTCAGGAAAATTTCAATACAATTTTATTATTCTAAAGTTTGGGGAAAACAAATTAATAATTAAATCTACTTCTTTTGTGAATAACAAACTTCTTTTTCTAAATCAATATATTGTGAGTCTTGAGAGTGGGTGAGGGTTAAATTCATAAACAACAGATCCATTAAAGGCCTGGTATAGTTTCTAAAATCAATATATTGTGAACCTTGAGAGTGGGTGAGGGTTAAATTCATAAACAACAGATCCATTAAAGGCCTGGTATAGTTTCTAAAAAAACTTTTACTTTTAGATTTTTTGTACCCGTATAATGTTTTTAGAATATTTTTTTTTCGACTCTGTTTTCGTTCTTGGATTGAATGAATTGAAAATTTAGAGATTACTTCCTGATCCTGAGGATTTAGTGGTTGGCAGGCAGAAGATTTACTAACTTGAAATCCCAGGATGAGACAGGCAAAAGTTCAAGAGAATGCAAAATCTAGAATTCTAAATTTCTCTCTCAACCAAATTCTTGGAGTTTACAGCATTTATAGCTTCTAGCTAAGAACTTCTAGAACCAAATATTTCTAGGTACTAGAAATGTAATATTCTAAGCATTCTAATTCAAAGAATCCAAAAAAGAAAAGACTTCTTTTCATCCTTTTTTGCAGCCATCCAATAATTCTAAAGCAATTTTTCCATTTAAATTTTTTTTTCTAGTTTCAGTTTTCCATAAAAATTATATACTGCATTTTTATTTGAGTATTTGTTTCCAATAGTTTACCTTATGATTATAATTCAAAGAAAAGTTATCCAATGGAAATCGTGATTAATCAAATAATTATATTATCTCTTTTCGTTAATAAAGCGAAAACCGAAAGGAACTTATTTAATGATCATAAATTTGCACTACGAGCATTTGAAAAGAAAATGAGATAATTTTAAATTTGTTTGATGAAACAAAGAATGAAAATTATCTATGATGATATCTTCATTCCTCTTTACCAATGCAAAATCTAACCCCTTTTAATAAACTTGTGACTTCAAAAGTTAAAAAGACTGGTTTTCATAACTTTTCTCTCAATGCAACATTATTTGTTTGAGTTTGTGTGTTTTTTTATCCTCAATGTGTATTAATATTTACTCCTTGTGAATGCTGAGATCGACTAAAAACCCTTTGCCAAAAAATATTAGCCTTAGCATTCATATTATTCAAAATCTTCGTTTCTATCAGATCTTTTTTTTCAATTCATTTATTGAAAATGTTAAATTGTATTAAAATTTTCACCTTAAGATCTAAAAGTGTAAACAGTAATTTAAAGATTATCAAGTTATTTTGTTTTTATTAAAAAATTTAAATCTTTTTGTAGATCTTCATATCTTTGATCCAAAATAGTCTGATACAAAGGAACTGAGTCTTTGTCACAAGCTCTGTTTTTCTAATCCCTGTATTTATGCAACCAGATGTTGTAGACCTTAGATATTTCACACTATATGTTAGATTAAAAAATTCAAGTTTGAAATATTAAAGGATTACGCCATCAAGTTGCAAATATAAAGGGAATCGAACAGTTTAGTTAGTGGCAAGAACTCAGTTCCTTTAGATTAATTTATTTTCTAAAAAATCAAAATATCTAAAAGCATAATTATTTCTAAATTTAAATTTTTTAAGTGAAAATGTTTTATTGGGACTAATTTTTCTAGTCTATCAAATGACCGAAATCTGAGTTCTTATATATATATATATATATATATATCAGTGAAAAGTATTTTTATTCTGTGTATATTATATATGCACAGTTTCTCCATATTCTCTCTTTACTTCCTTAGAAAAACCTACAAATGTGATTTTATATTTAAAAGTACATTATGTACTGTACTCTACTCAATATTCATATCAGTATTAGCAAGATTAGATAGTTTGGACTCAAAATGTTTTGTTTTTTAAAATCTCTCTAGGTTTATTTTTTTAAGCAAGAAATTATAAGACAGTGATGTTTCGTTTTTAAAATGTTACAAACAAAAATGAGTAAAAAAACAAAAACAATAAACAATTCGTTCCTTAATTTCTTAATTTTTACTCACAAAGTCCAATTTTTCTTAACTTTGTATAATTTTTTCTCTTTCTTCCAACATTTCTTTTAAAGTTGAGAATGAAAACATGCACAAATCAATGTTTTCAATAAACAAAAAATCGTACAATTTATGTACATTTATCTTAAAAATGGAAATGTTCTTCATATGAATTATCTTTATGTACCCCTTGGACTGGCTCATTGTACTGTAAGTGAAAAAGTACATATCTAAATGTACACTCACATTTTTTATGTTCACAAACTCCAATTTTCTAATCTTTATATCTTGAAACTAGGGATGGATTCCTTTTTTTTAACCAATCGTTTCGTTATGAAAACGACTAAAAAATATCGTTTTTTCAAAAACAGTCGTTTTCAAACAAACTCAGATTCATTAGCGAACGATCGTTTTTTTAAAAACGATCGTTTTCAAGAATGGAAGTTTTTCGTTTTTTAGATATAGGATAGTTTTTAGAAAACACTCGTTTTTCGTTTTTTGAAAGTTCAAAACAAGTGGTTCGTTTTCAAAAACGATCGTTTTTAAAAACGATTATCAACCCTATATAATGCAACCCGAGGTCGAAGATCTGAGATTTTTCAAACCATGAATTATTTAGTTTTTTGCAAAGATTAAGTTCCTTTAAACTTAATATTTATATTTGTGCTATTTAATTTTTTTCAAACAACCTCCATCAAGATTGCATAATTAAAAGAAAAAAATCTCCTAATGTGAGCCAAAATACCCAATATATATATATTATTATAAAACTCAATATTGATATTGTTCTCAAATAAAAATTTAAAAAAAAACATTTTGTTGTATTTTTAAATAGCTGCAAATAGCCGAAAGAACTTGAAAGGTTTGTCTGTTTAAGAAAGAATGAGAAATTCTGGATATAATAGAAGAATGAGATATCCAGGATATCATTGAAGAATGAGATATCCAGGATATCATTGAAGAATGAGATATCCTGGATATCATTGAAGAATGAGATATCCAGGATATCATTGAAGAATGAGATATCTTGGATATCATTGAAGAATGAGATATCCTGGATATCATTGAAGATTAATATATCCTGGATATCATTGAAAAATGAGATTTCCTGGATATCATTGAAGAATGAGATATCCTGGATATCATTGAAGATTGATATATCCTGGATATCATTGAAGAATGAGATATCCTGGATATCATTGAAGATTGAGATGTGCTGGATATCATTGAAGAATGAGATATCCTGGATATCATTGAAAAATGAGATATCCTGGATATCATTGAGAAAATTTGTATTTAACATTGTGATTTCTCGTTTAAGTGGCGTGCGGATTTAAAAAAAGGGTTTTAGGGTAACTGTGTTAATTGACCCTACCCCTCTTTGATTACATATAGGCTCATTTGAAATTACAAAGGAACAATTAGAGCCTCTGGTACGCACGGTGCGATGGAACCAGTGCAAAACGATTTTTCAAAAAAATTAGTAAAATCGTTTTCCGTATTTCGTTTTGAAAAATCGTTAGTCAATATCTTTGTTCAGAGTAAGCATTTTGCAGAGTAAAACAAAAGCAAACTTGTCCAGCACGCAGTTTTGAAATAGGATTTTCCTCTCCGATTCTTGTGAAGCCGGCCTTTAAAAAATCTTAAAAACTTTGTATGTTAAAAAACGAGCCTCATTGCGATGCCAATCAGTACTTGAAGATAGTTGTACGAAAGGTTGTGCAATATTTCTTTGTCTAATCTGCTTTCTGTTGTCACAGACTTTCCAAAGAGCCATAAAATGTTTAAATCTAATGATTGCTCTTGCTTTTGAATTTCCAAAAAACGTTGGCTTTCTCCCTCCATGTAAGAGATAACTCATTTAATTTAGTGAAAATGGATGAAATTTCCATTTATTTCAATACGTTTTGAATCCGTTTTTTTTAAATATTTTAATCACAGGATCTTCCATTGGTTTTTTTCTAACACTGATGAATCAGAATAAATAAGAGATTTAGTAACGATCGGGATTAGCCGCTGGAAAAGATATTTAATGTTCTGATATCTGCTCTAATCGAATAAAGTTTAGAAGATTCAATTGAAAATTTTAAGTTACTACTTTATCTTTGTTAAAACTTTAACCACTTACATGATTACTATTTGTATTAAAATAAAAACATAATTCAAGTTTAAGTATTTTGGATTAAAATAAAGGATACATACATGACAATTGATACATAACACAGGATACATGATACACGATACAAAATACAGAATACAATGCAAAATACAGAAAAATAACACAGAATACCGAATATTGTATACACAAAATACAGGACACATGATACGATACAGAATACACCATATAGGGTACACGATACAGGATATACGATACAGGATACACGATACAGGATACACGATACAGGATACACGATACAGGATACACGATGCAGGATACACGATACATGATACAGGATACAAGATACAGGGTACACGATACAGGATACACGATACAGGATACAGGATACAGGATACACGATACAGGATACACGATACAGGATTCACGATACAGGATACACGATACACGATACACGATACAACATATGATACCTTACGGATTGGAAATTATAAATCTCTAAAAGAAAGCAAATCAAACGTTTACGCAATGATTTCTGGCGGAAGTGATATTGTTATCAATAATTTGAACAATCAACTCAAACTGATTCATTTATAAAAAATCTATTTTCTGTAGCTCGCATTTCAGTGATTCAAATTTTCTTTATATCACAGCTCTAAACATGTTTGTTTAGAAAAGATACTTAATTAAATGTAAACTAAAAAAGGCGAAACTTAATTTGTTTGTTGTTAAGCCGTAGAAAAAAGCTATTTATCTTTTCATCTAATTACATAGAAACAATAGTGTCTTATTGGTAAACCAGTGTAAAGTGTAAAATACATATGTGTTTTATAGAATTTAGAATATTTTTCGTGTTCAGCGGATTGAACGAAATTACACCTTTTCTCGGTGAACTTTTGTGATGAAAAATAGCTTGGTTCCCTTTTTAAAGTTTGAGGTGTTTGAATTTTAAACGGTACAAAAAATCTGATAAATTAATTTCTTCTAAATATTTGATTTCCAAACACCTTGCCAAATTTTAACCCTTAAAGGAGACATATGCAATACACTAATCAATCTATTTTTTATCTGAGGAAAATACATAAAATTAAAAAAAATGTTCACCACAAAGCAGCGTGCATTTAGAATTATAAACTGTTATAAGCGTTCTATGAATAAGTACACAAGTACCACAGCCTTGATCAGATCACAGCTGGAATGGGAAATGTACAACTGCAGGGTCAAATAAATAAGATCTATATATGGTATTACCTGTAAAGCATTTATTATAATTTCATTAAAGATATTTTCCAATGTCTGGAAACACAAACTCCTTTGAAATCAGGAATAGAGATGGGCATGTTCGACTTTTTTCATTTCGTTCATTCATCTTTCGTGAACGACCCATTTCGTTCGTTCTTTTAATCGTAAAAAAATAATAGATTTTGTTTATTCTCCAAATTATAGTTCATTTTTAATCTATTTCCTTCGTTTTCTCATTGAACGATCGTTCAGTAAAATCGTTCGTTCAGTATAATCGTTCGTTCGATAAAATCATTTGTTAATTCTATAAAAAACGAAAGTTTTTCCAAATCTTTTAGAAAATTCGTTCGTTCAGCATAAAACGATAGTTTTTTATGTTCTTTTTTTAAAAAAACGATCATTTTTCTCATTACCCTGAACAATTCAGTTCGTTTGTCAATCGTTTTCCCATCCATCCATCCATCCATTTCTTTCGTTCTAAAACTTTTGTGCGTTCTAAAGCTTTTGTTCGTTCTAAAACTTTTGTTTGTTCTAAAAAAACTATGCCCACCTCTAACCAGGACTGATGGTGCCCCTGCTCCAGAGCCGGTCAACCGAAATCCTGGACGAACCAAGTTCAAATTTGTCATTATAGGCGATGGTGCAGTAAGTAGATTGTACAATAAAAAAATAACAACCATTGAACCGATATAGAAAATTATTTCAAATCATCTTCAAAAGAATATTGATCTTAATTATTATTTTTGGTTCAAACTTGAATTTAAGTGAAGTTTTCTTTAAGTAAATGCTGCTCCTAAAGAAAACGTAATTTCTATTTTATTTTATTATTACTTTGTGTGTGGCTAGTTCACAATATAAAAAATACTGATTATAATGTGAATACAATTACGAAGTTTGTAAAATTTAAATATTTTGTGATGATTTCAGGTTGGAAAAACATCAGTTTGTCAGGTTTTTAAGGATAAGGTAAATAGATTATGTTCATGCTACAAAAAGTAAATAAAAAAAGGGTTCCCCAAAACCTTTTCTGTTTTTCATTAATTTACAATCATAAAAAGGGTTTTGTTAGAAAGAAGAGTCTTTGCAACAAACTCTGATTTTTTTATCTCAAAATTAATATGAATTCTGTTAGATCAAATAATAAAAGTTTAAAATAACAAAGGTTAATGCTACCTGAGTCCAAATTTAATGAATTTGAGCTGCCCGGCTTAAATCCGCGAAAACCCGGTTTTTATTGAGCGCCGGCTTAAAACTTGAAACATTTGATACAATTTTAAGTGGAACCAACCATATTTAAGCCGCGGCTCAAATTCTTTAAATTCTATGATATATGAATTAGAATGTTTGAGATGTTACAAAGATTCCTTTATTCCAAGACAAAATGAGTTATAAATAGATTATAGAAAATTCTCGAAAATTTTGTTACAGAAAAGAAAACATAAATAAACAGTACTTTTTCAATAAAATTTACTAATTAGGTAATCCTATAATTGATCCGTTTCTTTTTACGTTTTAAGATATTTGTCCTTCTTGGAGCTCCAACTCTTTTAATATTATCGTAATATTTTATTCTCTATAACTTTACATTATACTTAATATTGGCTCTGATAGAATATGTAGCTTGAAAAAACGGACAATATGAAAAATCGTTAACGATAGGAAAAATCGTTTCAGTGCGCATTTTCCTATCGTTGGTCAGTCCATATTTTGCATCTATGGAATATGTATATAAAACTAGCTTGCGAATCCAAAGTTTTCTATATAAGGGTCAACCTATTTAACTAGCTAAGGAATTTTAATCCAAGCTAATAACATTTCCGTGGTTCTGTCGAGTTCCTCAGTCAAAATTTGAGGCAAATCGGTCAAGGGGTTTGTAATTGTATATATGATAGGACATACAAACATCATAGCAGAGATTATAACTTTTTTATATTATATAGCCTTGTAAAATATCTAGCTTAGAAAGCTTGGACTGCAAGGCCAACCTGGTAAAGTAATAAAACTTTTAGAAAATACATTTCAAGAACTAATCAAGCACATTTTAGGAGCCTATTGAAACCAAGAAAAGTTTAAATGTTAAAAACGGAAAGAACTGCTTGTTACAATACAATATTCATAACTTTTGTTTAGAAATTTTCAACTGATATGTATATACCAACAATATTTGAGAACCATACAGTAGACCTAACATATCTAGATAAGGTAAAATCAATATCATTGCTCATGTAAAATATGTAAAATCAATATCAATGCTCATGTAAAATATGTAAAAAATAGTTTGGAAGACTGATTCTAGATGTTAAAAATGGACGGCACTTACAATATAAATTACAAAATAAAAAAATTCTCATATTTGGCAGAAAAAGTTAAATCGCTTGTTGCAAAATGATCAATTTTTGTTGAGTATAAGCGATTTTTTGTCGCTTCATTGGCAGCTATCTAACTGTTGTGCCAAAGAAGTGATTTTTTAGTTTTGTAATTTAGAGTGAAAGGACCGTATAGTAAAACAAAACCTTTGGCCATTCTTGTAGATATATTGTAAATGGTAAAAAAGCAGTGATCAATAGCTCTAAAATTTGATTTGAGAATAATAATTAGAAAAGTTACGATTTTTTCTTGACTTCTGGACGATGCAAGTTGTAATTCTTCATACAAGCCATTGTGAGAGTTCTGACAAATTTTGTTCAGGTTTATCAGATAAATCTCTCTGATACAGCAGCAAATTTTGTTCAGGTTTATCAGATAAATCTGTCTGATACAGCAGCAAATTTTGTTAAGGTTTATCAGATAAATCTGTCTGATACAGCAGCAAATTTTGTTTAGGTTTATCAGATAAATCTGTCTGATACAGCAGGCCAGGAACAGTTTGATAGGATACGAAGGTTGGTTCATTTTAAAGTTTACTTTTTTAAAGATAAACGTTTTTTAAATGACATTAAGATTAAAGATTCACAACAATATTCTTTAAAAACTTTTGTTTGAGCCATAGAAAAAATCTTCGTTTTTCTATCTAAATGATAATTCTTGTTCTGGTTTTCTTTAAACATAAATTGTGGATTTTATGCAGCTGGGAAAAATAACATAATTTAAAAAATTCAATATTATTGTTTAGCTTTTTCCAATTTTTTAAAATTTCAATTGAATTTTCTGACAGGTTTGATTGATGATAATAGAATTTATTAAATTCTAGGAGAACCATACTTGAATTTTTTTAATAAATTGTGTTACACATACTTCTACTTTAAAAAATTTGAAAAATTATCCCGCTTTTCCATTTTTATATTTAGATTATAGTATCCAGGATATTTTTATATTTAGATTACAGTATCCAGAATATTTTTATATTTAGATTACAGTATCCAGATTTTTATATGCAGATTACAGTATCTAGGATATTTTTATATTCAGATTACAGTATCCAGGATATTTTTATATTTAGATTACAGTATCCAGAATATTTTTATATTTAGATTACAGTATCCAGAATATTTTTATATGCAGATTACAGTATCTAGGATATTTTTATATTCAGATTACAGTATCCAGGATATTTTTATATGCAGATTACAGTATCCAGGATATTTCTATATTCAGATTACAGTATCCAGGATATTTCTTCATTCAGATTACAGTATCCAGGAACAGACGTTTTCCTGGTTTGTTTCAGTCTCGCCAGCAAAGATTCTTTTGAAAATGTCAAAAACGTGGTAAACATGTAAACTTTTTAAATTAATGATTATTTTTTAATTTTTTCCAAAATAAAATTAACCATGGTATTTATATAGTAATGAAAATCTTAAAATGTTTTTTAGTGGCTTCCAGAAATAAATCAAGGTAAATAGCTTTTCATCAAAAAAATATTAAAATTTGTATTCAATTAATTGAACTGTCGTAGTAATTTAAAGTGCCCCATCGTTTTAAGGAGGTGCGTCCGATTTACAAGGGTACTCTTGAAACCTTAATATGATAAATAATGTGGAAGGTAGCGTCGTCTTTTCCAGCTCACCCTTTTAGAGAGGTAATGTTGTAAATCGGACATGCCTTCTTCGTTAAATAAAAATCCCTTGAATAACGTTTACAGTCTCTGTAATGAAAATATAATTATCAGCGAATCCAAATGCAATAAAACTGTTGGTTGGAACTAAATCAGATCTTGTAAACCCAGCTTTAGGTGGCACCTTGGCCAGGTACATTCATTCATCATTCATCATCCATCATTTATCATTCATCATTTATCATTCATCATTCATCATTCATCATTCATCATTCATCATTCATCATTCATCATTCATCATTCATCATTCATCATTCATCATTTATCATTCATCATTTATCATTCATCATTCATCATACGTCATTCATCATTCATCATTCATCATTCATCATTCATCATTCATCATTCATCATTCATCATTCATCATTTATCATTCATCATTCATCATTCATCATTCATAATTCATCATTCATCACTCATCATTCATCATTCATCATTCATCATCATCATAATCCATCATTTATCATTCATCAGTCATCATTTATCATTCATCATTCATCATTCATCATTCATCATTCATCATTCATCATTCATCATTCATCATTCATCATTCATCGTTCATCATTCGTCATTCGTCATTCATCATTCATCATTCATTATTCATCATTCATCATTCATCATTCATCATTCATCATTCATCTTTCATCTTTCATCTTTCATCATTCATCATTCATCATACATCATTCATCATTCATCATTCATCATTCATCAATCATCATTCATCATTCATCATTCATCATTCATCATTTATCGTTCATCGTTCATCATTCATCATTCATCATTCATCATTCATTATTCAGCATTCATCATTCATCATTCATAATTCATCATTCATCATTCATCATTTATCATTCATCTTTCATTTCTCATCATTCATCATTCATCACTCATCAATCATCATTCATAATTAATCTTTTATCATTAATCATTCATAATTCATTTGGTCAGCATTTTGTTCTTAATCATCTGAGCTGAAATCTTTAGAATTGTGAATAACGTGATCAATGCAATTGATCTTCTCTTTTTGTTAATTTCAAGATTAATTTCATCTTAAATTTATATCAACATATATGTGTATAAAGATAAACCAATCGAGTGGGGTTTGGAGATTCCAGAACATCAGCCAATCACAAAGGTCGGAAAATTTAAAATTTTGCGCGCCATTTAAGTGAACTCTTATTGGTCGGAAACTGACAGAGAGAGAGAAAGAAAGAAAAAGAGCGGATTGAGAAGGAAATTAAAAGTGTCCACATTGGATATTGAGATGACGCGATCGGATTAACGGTATCCAATTCTAAAGTTTTCAGCTCTGATTTTCAGTCCTTTATATGTATTTACTTCTGTTCTAATTATATATATAAGGCGGTTCTCAAGAAAAACTGAGATAGTTATGAAACGAGATGTCGAAAAACTGTTAAACCGTGGTTTAGTGGATGGATTAATTGATTGCAGGTGTGTAATATTACGTTGCATTTGAGAACATGGATATAGGTGCTGTCAATGTTAGTTGGAGTTGAGAAAACCGGTTCATAAACTTGAGAATGCCACAAAGTTTTAGATGATCCGTCCTCACTCGTTAAAACCACAGAACAGGTAGCATAGAAAGGATTATTGACGCGGACCACCCTGTCTGAGTGGCCTTGAAGGGATTAGTTAACCAAACAGCTGCATATTGGTGTATATTTCTGAGTAATCAATCAATCGACCTGTAAAGGTTGGGGTCATTGTATATGCTGTTCACCATTATTGTCTGCACAACAACTCTCCACTCTAATGATTATTCAATTATTGATCACTAATTAACCAACTTTGTGATATATCAAGATGCAATACAATACTCAGTCAAATTTGCCAAAAATTGCAATGTAATACAGTTTAAGAATTCAACACGCAAAATATTAATCTTAAGTAGAATTGAAAAAATAGTTTGAGTTGTGCTTTTATGTGTGACGCGGCTGGATTTTTTAAAATCACACTTTAAAGGCCCTAAAAATACCATTTAAAAAGTAGTTTTGCCCGGAAGAGTCAAATGTGGTGATACGGAAGGGGAAATAGTGGTGGCTCATGGCTGCCGGAAGAGAAAAAAGCTAATACGTGGCACGAAAGGGTAAATAGTGGTGGCTCATGGCCGCCTGTCTTCCCCCGCTCATGCACAATGCACATGTGTCTTAATGAATATGATCCTTGTACGCTAACTGTTTTGTGATAAACATTTTTCTAAATATTGTTTTATATTCCAGAAATATTGATACTTACTTTTCGGAATTCGCAGAAAATAAATATTTACATTAGAATTTTTTAAAACTGCTTTGGACATTGAATATTTAGGATTTTCGAGAAATATATTCAAAGTCAGCTTTGTTGAGTTCAAAATGTACTCTTCGGCAATTTTGTCCCCATTTTAGAAATAAATACATGAGTTCTCGGACGTAGAGGATCAGTTTTAAAGGGTACCGTTGTAAACTTTAAGAACGGAGGGTAAATTGAAGATACTGTCACAATACCATTAATCCTAGTTCAGGCAAAGATTTGTTAACACAAATTCGAAAATATAAGGAAGACGATTTTTCCGACTCAAATGCCGTAGCCTTTTCTCTAGATGCATGTATACTCAAGATCCATTTCCGCCATGAAGCCCACATGTAACCCCCGCTTCTTCTCCCCCCCCCCCTTCTACAGATCCCAGCCTCGGCAGTCAGCTATAAACACTCAAGACATTCACAACTCCGTCTCAACCCTGGCTCCTTCATGATGATGATGCAGATACTCAGCGCAACGCACCTGTTGATCTGCCCCACCAACATGAAGCTCTACATCACCCCCCATGACTCCTTCAGGCTGATGATGCAGATACTGAACTAAAAGCAGGCGTGCTTTCACCTCTGATCTCCCTATTAACTTCTTGAGAAGCTTACTTAGGAAACTAAAACGGATCTGACCGAAGTTTCTGCTATCTCGAGTTGCATTGCCTTCGATCCATTGATAAGCCCTGTTGTCCCAGTTCCCGGATCTGCTCCACCAACATGAAGCTCTACAACACTTCCATGAAGCGCCATCTAATATCCAGCATTAATTCCTTTGTTAATTTCTAAATCAACCAATTTTAACTCCGCCTTAAATGCAAATATTTCAAAACACTCGTTTTTTAAATAAATGTTAGAAATATCCATTTTAGATCTCTTTATTTTATTATAGTGACTTTTCAAGTCAACAAGATTATTTAAGATAAGATTGTTTAAATTTGTTTTCATTTTATATCTGTCAGTTTCGATTTTTGGAAGGTTTGCTGTCAAAATTGAAAAATTTGGCCCAGAAAAAAAAAATGGCGACATTTACGATAGTTTAAAACCCACCAACTTACACAGATAATTGTCCGCAACATTTTTCGTTTTTTGAGGTACAATGAAAATGAAGGGTTAAAATCACGACCCACTGGTGTAACCGTGTACATTTGAATGTCCGGTGTACATTTCCGAGCTGGGCCAACCTTTGCAGTCCCACTGTACCGCAAATTTAGAATTACTTTAAAGCGACAGAGGAGTGTGAAATATAAACTTATGACTAGAGAAGTGAGGCGAATGTCTTATATTTAGAACCAAAAAATTAAATATTAACATCCTATAACAGGTTAAAAAAATATACCTTCGAGACAGAATTTAAAAAAAAATAGTTAAAATCCTAAGTTTCATTTTATCTTTTACATGTTTAGTGCAAAACTAGGAAGCGACAGTATAGACCCAGTTTTTAAAAAGGTATTGTTTTATTTCAATTTTTTTAAATGATAATTTTGATTTTAATAAGAAATGAATTTAATGTAAAAAGTCTTAAAAAATAAGGCCTTAATCATAATTGTTTTTTTTTCTCTTAATAATTTGTTAGTTCTTTATACTGATTTTTAAAACTTTTTTTCAAATCCAGCTTTAATCTCTTGCAATTGTTTAGCCGCACCTTTAAAGTGTTTTTACACCTTGATCTGAGTAATATCTAAGTATAGTGCAGGTCGACGTCCTAAGAAAGGAAGAAAGAAGGAATGAAAAGAATGGAGTACACTTTTTATATGAAAAATACACACCCTGTATAATCAAATATGCATAATTTCTTCATATTTAGGCCATGCATCTGCTTTTGTTTGGTCCTGAAGAATGCACTAAATTTTCATTTAATTGTAAACTATTCTAGAAGAGATTCGAGAATTTTATATAAAACCTTCCGTTACATAAAATAATTATATTTTAAATATAAATTTATTTAAAACTTAACAACATCAAATTATTCCTATTGGTTCTGAATATGAGTTAGAAACCAATTTTATTATTTAAAAAGATAAACAAGGTATGAAATAATATAACGCGGATCTAGGTTCACTCCAAATAATTGAAGTAACAAAATAAATCAAATGATTTCTTCACACCACCCTGGAAAAAGTACTTTTACTTCCCCATTAAAGCATGAATTAGCTACGATGACTAAATTTTCCAGGGCTCTAAAAACTAGACTGATTTTCCTGAGGTTTGTAAACTAGACTGATTTTCCTGAGGTTTGTAAACTAGACTGATTTTCCAAAGGTTTGTAAACTAGACTGATTTTCGGTGTGGATTTTTTAACTAAGTGCCCCCCCTTGACTAGCTTTGACTAGGTTAATTACCTCTCTATATGACTAGCTCATTATTTATATCACTGTGGTTTTCTCCCCTGAATCGTTGTCATGCCAGGTTCAGATTTCGGGGATTTTGGCGAAAAAACTTATACTTCAATTCCAATAAATGCCGTTTTGACATATTTTAGCGCCAGATTTGTTCACTCAATATACTTTTTGCAATTCCATTAGATATGTGACAAAAAATGGGACCGTGTTCACTTTTCTGAACTGAATAACGTTTCTGCGTTTCTAAAAACGGTTTCCAGTAATATCACTTCACATTGTCCAAGATCCATCCTCGAAACTGGGATATTCTGAAATAAAAGGTTTAAAGGGACTGTAAGCTTAATATCAAGTGTGACCCTCTATGCAAAAGATGGCAATGCCCGATTTACAAAGGTACTCTTGAAACCTTAATCTGATCGAAAATGTGAAAGATACCGTTTTCTCTACTGGAAAAGTGTATTTTTCTGTTAGTTTCTCGATTGCTACTTATAAGAAGAATTGTGCGCAAGTCACTTTCACAGAGAATACACAAATGAGAAAAAAACAGTTTAAAGAAACAAAACCATTGATATATATTTCATACTTGATTAGACAACAGTTTCAAGGGTACCGTTGTAAATCGGGCATTGCCATATTTGCATGAAGTGTCAGTTAAAATTATGCTTACCTAGTTCCACTAAAACTTTATTAGGAAAATAACAATAATAAGTTTTGTATAAAAAGTAGTAAATTTAATTACCTTGTACATACACCTGGTAGATTAGGTTCGGCACAACCAATGCCCCAACTAAAAATATATTTTTTTTAATCTTTACTCTAATCTTTAAAAAAAAGAAATAAAACATTTTTCTTTTTCTAAGAGTTTCAAGAAAAATTCTAATTTTGACAATTGGCAGAGAAAGACAATTACTGTTTTTCCTCTGAACAAAAGAAATATAACAGTTGTTAAATTTAATTTTTAGTTCTAGTGTTATGAAGGGGGAGTTTTAATACAAAGCGAACAACAAATAAGCTAAATTTATGACTTCAAATTATATAAAAAAAAATTAAGCTCGCTGTTCATACAATTTCATTGCATTTGTAGTGAGAACAAAAAAATAATTGAAATACAAAGACGAATTTAAGACAACAGTTATGACTTTAAATAGTCCAATGAACATGACCCTAAGCAATGATGCAGTGAAAAAGACCCATTTAACTTTATAATTAGTTTTATAAGTTTCTAATAAAACTACTTTCTTTATATTGCCAGAATATCGTCTTCCTAACCCATAGATTTTTGGTTCTCACTGTAAACTTAAGTCCCATGGAAAATTAAGCATGAAAGAAAGTCACAGATCGACACAAACTTTCAACATGATTTTAAAATAGCATTGACATTTTAAAAAATGTTTTACCTAATAATGCCCGCGAGGAACCATCTTCCATCCTTCCCCTTCACAACTAAGGGTCCTCCTGAATCACCCTGTAAAAAGTAAAAACATTTTTAAGGTTTTCTTTTTTTGTATTAACCCTAGCTCTACATGACGTCCAATTATTTATTGCAAAATCCAGTTATTAAACAAAATATGTGCGAAAACCAGGGAAAATAATTGCCATATTTTCAAAACCTAAACATGTTATTAAAGAAAAACTGAAAATGTAAAATTAATTTTTAACGGGCAAAAAACTGTGCAAAATTGCTTTTCAAAACATCTGCAATCTGCTTCCAATTTTGTCATAAGCTTTTCGAAGAGCTAAATAATGTTTAAATCAAATGACTAGAAGTTGTTCTGAATATACTCGTATTTCAAGATCTGAATATTTTATTATTTCGTAAAAATTTTGTTATAGTTGATCAAAATGCAAATCTTTGAAATATCAAAGATTTACACCACCAGGTCGCAGAGATCTGGGATTAGAAAATTGTAGTTTGAGGCAAGTAATTATTTCTATAAGTTTATTTAGTTAATGTTCAAAGAGAAATGTTTACTAATAAAAAAGCGTACAGTTATGAAAACGCTCAAATTCAACAAATTTGAAAAATAAATTCCTAAATTATCATTTTTTTGACTAACCTGACAAGAATCCCGTCCCCCTGTTTCATATCCAGCACACATAAATATATCTGGTATAACCTAAACATATCCAATATCCAGCACACATAAATATATCTGGTATCATCTAACATATCCAATCAGCACATATAAATATATCTGGTATCATCTAACATATCCATCTAATCACATATTTCCTGAAAGAAACTATTTAGCCATGCCATAAATCTAGAGTCTTTTAGTCAGATAGATGAATAGACATGTAGGCAGAGTTAATATTAGGCAGGAGGATAGGTAGACAAGAAGACATGTAGGCAGGTAACAGATAGACAGAAAGACAGATGGACAGATAGACAGATAGACCGTTAGACAGTTAGACAGTTAGACAGTTAGACAGTTAGACCGATAGACAGATAGACATATAGACAGATAGACAGATAGACAGATAGACAGATAGACAGATAGACAGATAGACAGATAGACAGATAGACAGATAGACAGATAGACAGATAAACAGATAAACAGATAAACAGATAGACAGATAGACAGATAGACATATAGACAGATAGACAGATAGACAGTAAGACAGTAAGACAGATAGGCATGTGGACAGATAGACACGTGGACAGATAGACAAAGGTAGACAGGTAGACAGAGAGACAGGTAGAAAGCATGACAGAGAGACAGGAAGAAAGGTAGAGGTAGACAGGTATACATGTGGACAGATATACACAGGTAGACAGGTAGACAGGTACACAGGTAGACAGGTACACAGGTAGACAGGTACACAGGTAGACAGGTACACAGGTAGACAGGTACACAGGTACAGAGGTATACAGGTACAAGGTAGACAGATAGACAGGTAGACAAAAAGACGACCTACCTCGTGTCTTCCCGCTGCTAGAAACATACTTTTACATCTTTCATTCGATACAATGGGAACTGAAACCTAAAAGAAAAGATTATATATATTTATTGTATTTAACTATAAAATAATCAACCAGTGGCCGAATTTAAAGAATTTGAGCGGCGGTTTAAATTTGAGCCGCGGCTTAAATATGATTGGTTCCACCTAAAATTGTATCAAATGTTTCAAGATTTGAGCCGCCGCTTAATTTAAACCGGGTTTTGGCAGATTTAAACCACTGCTTAAGTTCAGAGCAGTTTCAGTGTGTCATATTTATTACTACAAATGATTCTGATTGCTCCTTTTTACATGATGAAACTGGTGTTTTAACAACAAAAATTGTATTTAGTTGCACTTTCTTAGTCTATATTGTTTTTTCTTTTAAAATTCGGTTGTTTTTTTCTTTTATTTTATTATGAATTGTATTTAGGGATTTGTTAACTTGTAATTAATCAATTTTTAGTAATGTGTCCTAAACATATCCAGAACAGAGTTTTTGCCACAACTTTGGATTTTCTAATCCCATTATCTTAGCAGCCCAAGGTCGTAGACCTTAGATATATCAAACTATGAAGTCTGTAAGATCATATAATCCACGTTAGAAATATCAAAGAATTACATCATTAGGTTGCAAGGATTAGAAAATTTGTTTGTGGCAAAGTCTCAGTTCCTTCGTCAATTATAATAATTACAAATTGCAACGTCCTCAGCAATATTTCTCCTTAATGAAATAATACGACAATCATTAAGTTGTTTACTACTGAAACTACTAGAATTGAAAATTGAATTGTACAAAAGCGTCATACATTGTCATACATTGTCGAAAGAATTTTATTTTAGTCTATTTTCCAGCAGTTGTTCAGTACAAGGTTCAGTAAATTGTTCATATAATTTCATTTTATTTTTATTTTGTATTTAGAATGATTTTACCATCCTTGAAGTACGTGTTAGCGATGGTTTTATATTTTAACACATGAGTGAATTCATTATTTGGTTTCAACTGTAAATTATACAAACTAATATTTTTATTTGAATATTAATTGAATGCACGAAAAGTAGAATTTAACATTATTAGGTCCTTGCTAGATACTTGGGGTACATGCATCGTTTTCTTCAACGGACGAATTTTTTTTTTAACGATGGTGTCGTTAAGAAATATTTACAAACCTTGGACCAACGAATTAAATCGTTCATAGAAACTAAAATAGAAATAGAAAAACAAAAACGATCGATTTCTAAATAGTTCGTTCGGAGATACTTGAAAAAAAAACTTATTTTTTTCAGTTAAGGAACAATTCGTTCGAACAAACTTTTAAAAAAACTATCGTTTTTTTACTAAACTACCGATTTTATTGCATGAAAAATTTTACAGAAAGAACGATCACACTGATTGCATGAACTTTTAAATAGCTTTCCGAAGCGAAGTCCTGTAAAAAGTTTGGTATTCCTAAGTCCTTGGTGTACTTACATGTTGTAAAATAGAAGGAAGAACTCCTTTCTCACTTAACCTGCCCCATCCAGCTACTGTTCCAAATTCACCTGAACAAATATCAAATCAAATAATTTTAATGTAACAGAGTGGCATGTCTGATTCACGATGGTATCTTTAAAAAATTTGTCTGGTCAAGAATGAATGAGATATCCATGAGTTTCTCTCTAGATATTGGTTATTTCGATTTTTCTATCAAAGTTATTATAAAAGAAAAGGAGATTTACTCCAAAGCTTTCTGACTCTCACTGAGATATGCAATGGATATGAAAATAATTGTAATATTTAATGTTAATATAACAAAACAAAATGTTAACAGAATTACTTCCGAAAAGTGTCCAGAACAAAATCTTTCTTATGTAAAAGTAAAAACACACTCGACATTATATCACCCTGGACTAACCAGGGCAAGATTCCATCGGTTTCTTCAATTTGAATTCAATCGTGTTTTGGTATATAATTTAACAATCTTTAAAATTACGGTAATCACTTTTTCCGCCCCTGCACCCCCCCCCCCATAATAAAATAAAAAATAAAAGCAAAACATGTATCTTGATAACGTCAAATTGTGCTCGAAACTGTCACTTTGCAGGGAAGAGAACTGAACAGTTAAATCAGTTTCCTGGCTCTCATTGTCAGTATATGCAGGAAATCATGAAAATACTAATAATTTTGATAATAAAAACATTAATAATACCTATAAGCAGATCATCGTTTCCTGGTAGACATATTGGAATAATGTTATCAGCAAACTTAATTCTTTTCTCAGCTCTAACCAGCGCTAGATCATTCTCATACGTGAAGAAATTATACTTCGGGTGTACAATCTAAAATATAAAGAGAGTTTAAATGTGTTGAAGAGACTGTACGCGTAATTTCAAGTGACCCTCCATTTATAGAGAGGCATGCCTGATTCACATCGGTACACTCAAGGAATAGGAATAAAGGGAAAGGAAATGGCGCTGGTTTCGTATGAGAAAGCTAGTCGCACTGCTAGTGCACACTCTAGGTTACAGTGTACACGTACACTCCGTTCTGGTGTACACTCTAGGTTACAGTGTACACGTACACTCCGTCCTGGTGTACACTTGCGCGGTTTCTGAGCACTAAACTTGCCGCTACATAAATATCTGAATAACAACGCAATCCTTGATCATACAAAAGTTTCAAGGGTATTGTTGTAAATCGGACATGGCACTCTATAAATGAAAGGTCATTTGAAATTACGCTTACAGTCCCTTTAATTAGATTAGGAAGCAAAAATAGAGACTTCTGTGCCGACAACACAGGGTTTCCCTTGAAGAATGAGATATCAGTGACGACTGTACAGAATTTTATTTTTTACGTTTATAATTTGCCCTTAACTTTTTTTTTCGTATGCTTACTCATTAAATTTACCATAAAATATACCATTAAATGTACCTTTAAATATACCATTAAATATACCATTAAATATATCATTAAATATACCATTAAATATATCATTAAATACACCATTAAATATACCATTAAATATACCATTAAATATGCCAATTATTATACCATTATTATACCATAAAATATACCATGAAATATACCATAAAATGACTATATAAAGGACAGAAACCCAATAAATTTGTACCTTCAGATTTTTATAGTAAAAGAGTTCTAGGTCGTCTTTAAAATTTCATTCTTTGTGGTTAACCCTTTAATATCCGAGCCAATTGCAGAATAAGTTTAGGTTATCATATTTTTATACAACAACTTTTATTTTGTGTCAGGATGTATGGCTTCGTTTTTTTTTAAAACAACTCGAATTCAAAATAATGAGTTGTGATTGAACAATTTAGCATGAATTTTATATTTTTTAAAACTTTCATTTAATTCTTTGATAGCTTTATAAAAATAAAACCTTACGCTACAGTTTGAAAATGTTAATTTTCTCATTATTTGAAACGTTAAATTATTTATGTTATTTTCTTCAGTGTTCTTTCTTTCCCAAGAAAATTATGATAAACTTTGCTTTAAAAGTATAATGCTTGGTCGACAGGGTGGGTGGTTGGTATTTTTTAAACTGCAGTAGCAGTACTAAACTATTTAGAGAAAAGTTAGACGTATAGAAATGTCCTGAGAAGAAATTGGAAAACACATTTAAGAAATTGAATAATTAAAGAGAGATAATGGAGTTTAGAAAACAAGACTTAATACTTTATAATGCCTTTCAGATAAATTACAAACTAGAGATTAGTCTTGTGATGATAATCTTCTCGTTAAAGGAACTCTTGACGAAATTTCAAGTAAACCGGTCCATTAACAAATTGATAATAAACTTCTAAGTTTTAAGATTGACAAATATAACCTTTAGTCATAAATAGGATTAGCCATTTGTCAGATTCAGAATCTACAGGGTGTCATAATAAACATGGGAATACAGAGACAATTGGAAATCGTCTTCGTTTCCAATAGTTGATAAATGCCAAAAAGTGTATCTTGAAAAGATTGTATTTCTTAATAGATATGGTAGCTTGTTTATTGTGACGCCCTGTAGCTTAATATATATCAGCCTGTTTATTGGGACACCCTGTATCTTAACAACTGTTGAATTCTCACAATTTCCTTCTCTACCCTGAAACCACAATTTCAATTAGAACTTTCCCTGCATGATAAATAATCTGTAAAGACGACCTTTTTAATCGCTTTTACTTCAAGATGAGGATTAGGCTCCGACTCTGACGAGAAATCCCATTCTCCCAACCTCAATCGGATCTGAGATATCGTCAAACTAAAAAGAATTAATTAACTTTGTGTATTTTTACAAAGAAAAAGCTATTATTTAAATGCAAAATAGGACGAGGGAGGAATCCCCCGGCTGCCAATAAGCCTCCGATATAAAGACCGAGCCTCCTATATTTTCTATGCAGTACGAGCCTCTGCCATACAATATAGAGCCTCCTGTATCCACCTACAACAAGCAGACCCATTTTAATGTATTGCGCATGCATATTACTGTATAGTTGAGGCACATCTTTATATGGGTAAACCAGGTACAAAGAAATCACTTCAATTACTTTTCGATAGTAATTAAAAATATATAAAAATTTAACTCGCAATGTAAATTAAAAAATAAAAGTTGACAAATAAATATTATTGAGCGGGAAGTTTACAGTTAAGGCTTTAGATTACTGATTATTTAACATACGGTAAGCACAATAACACTGCAGTTGAATACGAAAATAAGTCTTAGACTCAAAATGGATTTTAAATATTTCAATGGACATTAGACATGAAACACATCATTTATGCAATGCTCTTTATACACATACCCAAAACTCCATTTACTTGAAATGTTGATTTTTAAGTTACTGGAAACACTAATTGCCTTTCCTTTTAAACAACATCAATGATCAAATAATTAACTATAGAATTTTAAATGTCGTCTTCTTATTTCACAATTTTATCTTAATCTCAAACATAGTCCGGTCCAAGCAACTATATAAAGGAACGCCCAACTCAGATGTACGCAAATTATGTACTGTACACTGTGGGAGGAATGCAAACGAACCCAGTGCCCCCAGAGAAGTTGAAGGGAAAGGACTAAAGCTCTGATGTGACATTTCAGTCCAACAAAAAACAAGTTAACATATCAAGTTATAGCGAATACTTATGATTTGATTGGCTTTCTGGTCAATGTGGAAAATACAATAGCAATATATTCTTATTCCAACCCTTGGGCCCTTTTCCCTCAAAAATGATGCGTTGCCCCTGAATTCTTTGTTTTGATCTCCTCCCACTACAGTACACAGATTTGACGCATCAGATATGACGGTTCTTGGTCTATATATTTCTTGGTCCGGTCAATGTTTTTCACCTTTTAGAATAAACGTTATCGAAAATTTTAACTTTTTAATAAATTTTCAGATGAAAACATTTAAACACAAAATTTAACCTAAATGGTATAAATGTCGTAGACACATAAAACTACAAACTTGCCCCAAATTATTGTGCAATTTCACAATGTTTTATCTTTATTTAAAGGGACTGCTGACATAATTTTAAATGACTCTCAAATGTTGGGGGAAATTGTCAGAATAAAAAAAAATTTCAAAAAAAGAAGGAAAAAAATATTCCCACAATCTTGACCAGAAAAGGTCCTCTCATTTATATGAGGAATTATAAGTCGGACATACCATCTACAATTAAATTATCACGTCAACTCTTTAATAAAAAATATTTTATTAAAAAATGCTTACTCATCTACACAATGTCCCGCTGTTGCAACCCAATACTCGTTTAGCAGTGCTCCTCCACATCTATGCGTAGACGATCCAAAAATATTCAAAAAGGAAGTTCGGCGCACAGACACCTAGATTGTTTGCATTATTAATATTGTTCAGAGCTAATAATTATAAAAAGATGCCATTTTACTGTAGATAAATGTATGATTTGATTATTATTATTATCATTATTATTGTCATTTTTATCATTATTATTATTCGCAATTTTAGTTCCAAAATTCATAAAAACAAAATTCTTGATTTGGAAAACGACATTTATTAGGCATTGCATTCTGGTATCATAGTTTTTCAGAATTAAAAACTTTTAAATTGTCAATAATTTATCATTTAAATAATAGCTGCTTATTGTTTTAACTCTGGGTAATAATCCCATTTTTTCTAAATTTAAAAAATGTAATTTTTTATACTTTTTATGATGAGAAATTGTAGAGAATGATCTATATATAGATATATGTAGATATATATATTTATACATCTATATATATGTAGATAGATATAACACAATATAAATCATCAAACACCAATTGAATTTCAACTCGTGTAAGAGAAATTTATAAAAATAAACTGCCTGAAAAAGATTTCAAAATCCGAATTTGTAAACCCGGTTTCTAAAAAAGTGAAATTTATTTATTGCGTGGTGCAAGAATATTGTTTTTAAAAGGATTGAAGAAGAAATTTACATTTATAGTTTCATCGTTGCATAATTCGAAGAAGTACAATATAAAACGATATTTTGCTTGGTTAACGTAACGCTGAATTAAAAAAAAAGCTAATTCGTTAAAGAAATAATTTAAAAACAACGATTGTTTTAAAAACGATTGTCTGTTTTTTTCGTCGTAAGCGAAACGATATCTTCTTCGTTTTTAGTGTTTGTCTAAAGACCACTGACCTGCCAAGGGAATTGACCATAGCAAGCTCTGCTTCCATTAACAATCCTACCCTCAGAGCAGTGATCTGGCATAGTAGGCTGACCGCAGCTGCTCCTAGGGCTGCTCTCCGCACTTACAGCAGCTGATGAGGGCCGCAGGGTCAGCACAGAACTTAAAGAAAATGTTCAATATTTTCTCATTTATTCCCTACAATGAGAACCAGAAAACTCTGGAATAAAAGGCGACTTTTAGACTCAAGTTATAACTTTAAGTAGTCCAATGAACATAATGAGACACAGCATATGGAGCAGTGTAAACACTGAACAGACCCATATTAAACTAAATTACTGATTTAATAAGTGTCCAGTAAAACTATTTACTTTGTAACAATATCAAATAGATGTAAGGATTGTAACAATAGGATTGCCATATTTCTATTCCACAACTCTAACTGGTTATCACTGTATAGAATGATATGTTGGGTGAGCTTAAATTCAAAATTTGTTTTTGTAAATAAAATGGGTGCTAATTCCATATTTTGAAGAAATAATAAAATTTCGGGTAAAAACTGTTGTTGCTCACTTTTTCATTTTTTCTCATTTTTTATTTTTTTAACATCTTTTGATAAAAATTGCATTTACAAGTTTAATTCCATATTTTTTTACATTTTTATATTTCTTTACGTTAGTAATTGGAAAACGTTGCAGTTAAATTTTCTTTAATTTTATTACGAAATGTAACAAAAGATTTTGTAAGTTTGTCAAGTTTTTTCTTAAAATTTGCCGCGGACAATTTTAGACATATATTATTTGAACTAATAATATGCCTTAACTAATAACTGCCTTGATACAAAGAAAGGCCGGAATAATGTCAAAGTTTTTTCAATATGCCCTCTGATGCTATATTTGTATGGCTAAACGTATACTGCTAATTGTTTAATTCTATCTCCAGCCATTTTATTTTTGGTTTTTACATGTCATTTATAATTTTCCAATTAATTTTCCAACTTAATTTGTTGCTCAACCACGCGCGACATTTTTAATACTTTTTTTTTACTTATTGACATAAGCCAAGTATGGTTTGAATTAGTTGGCGTTTATCAAAAACAAGTTTTGTTTTAGTTCCGTATACAGAGAGAACCAGAAAATATTGGTAAAGGAAGATGACTTTCAAACTAAAAGTATGACTTAAAATAGTCCAAGGAAAAACGACGATATCTACCGCATTATAGATCTTAGAAAAGTATTAAAGGGAGAGACCGGCTATGTACGGTAGTCAAACAGAGTATGCAGTATTGTGAAAAAATCTTTAGGATTCATTTGAGACATATAAAATTTTTCCACGATCTATTATTACTGAGTTTCAGTGTATAGTCGACGTTCAAAATCATGAATCTGGTGGGTACCTTTTCAAAATCGGTTTTTTAAAATTATAAAATAACGACGACATAAAATAAAGTAAAAATTATTAATAATTCTGAAAACGTATCCATCCATCCAGGATTTAAAGATCTTTTTTATATGTCTCATATGAATCCTAAAGAATTTGTTCACAACACTGCATACTCAGTTCAACTACTTTACACAGCCGGTCTGTCCCTTTAAGGGCATTCCGTTGTGAATCGGGTATACCCCTCATTCTTATATGGAGGGCCACTTGAAATTACAACAATAAATTCCCATTAAAGGGAGTGACCGTCCATATAATGTAGTTGAACTGAGTATGCAGTGTTGTGGAAAACTTCTTACAGATTCATTTGAAACATATCAAAATTTTTAAAGATCTGTAAATTATTAAATTCAAACTCAGGATTTTTCGAATCTTTAAAAAGTTTAATATGTCTCTTAAATGAATCCGAAATAAGTTTTCCACAACACTGCATACTCAGTTAAACTACCTTACATAGCCGGTCACTCCCTTCTAAATACCTGATGGTAAATGCAGGTGTGGTTGGAGTTTGAAAGACAGGGAGTGCCATTTCTGTTGTTGTAGTTGGAGCTGTTGTTGTGGTGGTTGGTGTAGTACTTGTTGTGGTTGTTGTTGTTGTTGTTGTGGTTGTTGTTGTGCTAGTACTAGTCGTAGTAGTGCTAGTACTAGCTTCTCTTAATGGAGCTGTCTGCTCAGCACTGTATTTGAGTAAACCTCCAGGTTTAGGCGGACGTGTTGGACGTGTAGGTGTAGATTTGGTAGACCAACCCCAGTCCTAAAAAAGTGAACAGTCAAATAATATTGTTCCCTCTCTTTGTAGACAATAAGATGCAAAATGTAGTTTTTAAACAGTTAGTATTAGTAAATTAGATCAATAGACATTTCACAATAACAATATTAGTTTTGTAGTTTGTAAGAAATCTGAAAGAAGCCAGACTGAACCTTTTTTGTTAACGATTAAATAAGAGAAAATTAAATAGAAAACTGTAATGGGCTCTATGTAAATATGGATTAGGAAGCGACTGTTAGATTATTAATAATGGTGATAAGTATTTTCCCAAAAGCATTTTCCAATGTAGCAGAGCGCTGAGGCGAGGATTGGCTAAGGGTCGATTGCTGCGGCTAGAACAGGCTACAGGGCCGATTGCTGCGGCTAGAACAGGCTACAGGGTCGAGTGCTACGGCTAGAACAGGCTACAGGGTCGAGTGCTGCGGCTAGAATAGACTACAGGGTCAAGTGCTGCGGCTAGAACAGGCTACAGGGTCGAGTGTTTCGACTAGAACAGGCTACAGGGTCGAGTGCTGCGGCTAGAACAGGCTACAGGGTCGAGTGCTTCGGCTAGAACAGGGTAGAGTGCTGCGCAAGTTGCCACTTGTGAAATTACACAGTTAGAAAGTTTCCATTTGGGAAAATACTTTTGGGAAGCTGTCGCTTAGGGAAAAACCTTGGGAAATTACCTAACATCTTAAGTACATCAAGACAAACTAGTTTTTTACTTTAAAACTACATAAAATACCATAATATTAATTAATTGCCTTCCTATTTCACAGTTTTATGTATCCCACTGTATGTCCCAAATTGATTACCTCTGGCTCATTGTTTACAGGATCTCTCTCCTCCACGTGATTATTTTCAGGAAAATATTTATCATCTTTTTTATCCCAGCTTTGTGGTCGACCCGTCGGAGGTTTCCTGGGCAGGGATGAAGGCCAGATCAACGTGGAAGGTTTGGTAGGTCGCGGCGGTCTTGTCAAATCGTAACTATCTTCAGCAGGTTCCTCCATTCCACTTAGGATACCCACGCGATTTATACTGGGCCTTGGAGGTCTGGAAATTATAAAAAATATAAAAAGTAAAAGACGACATTTCTAATTTGATTTGTTTTATTGATTAATTGATTTAACTACCTTTTTGGCCTAGGCGGGCGAAAGTAGGTGTTACCACTGTTAAGTGAGGTAAAACCTGAATAGTGAATTATTGTTAATTATTTATATAAAATCTTCTTTCACTTCAAATAATTTTTATAATGTAGAGAAAAAATTGGGGTCGATTTTTTAGTAATATGTTTGAATATAAATATTTATTATACATTCATCAGATATTAACTTCTAAAAAGCGGAATAAAAGCTTAGATTTTTTAACTCCGAAATAGAAACTAAGATATTGTATTTTCTAATGGTTATAAATTACAGATTTATTTTTACGGTGTTTCTCAACCTTATGAACCTTAACAAAGACGACTTTCAATCAACTATATATACAGGTAATGTATGGCCATATTAATTTCAAATCAGGTCGACCAGTAATTTTAAGAAATTGATTTTGATAATGGTTTAGTGATAACCAGAAAACAACGGAATAGGAAGACGACATTATAGCAATAATTATAAGGGTATTTGATGCAAATAATTTTACTAGACACGTGTTAAATCACTAATTTAGTTAAATGGTCTTTTTACTTTGCACAATTTCTGTGTCTCATATTCATTGGCCTTTTTAAAGTAAAAATTATATAATCTAAAAGTCGTCTTTTTATTTCAGCTAGTTTTCTGGTTATCACTGTAAAAAATGTTTTAACCAACCTGGCGTTGTTTTTGGAGAATATGGAGGCTTGGTGGTTGGAGGAGGAGAGTTAGAAGATGAATAGGAGGAGGCAGGATAGAAGGATGAATGAGATGAATGGGATGAAGGATATGGATTGGAAGCTTGAGAATATGAGGATGATGAGGATGAATATGAGGAAGATGAAGATGGATATGACGAGGATGAGGATGAATATGAGGAAGATGAGGACGGATATATATCGGATGATGCTATATCATTGTCCCTTGTATCATGAATACAACAACTACCAAACATAAAACCATCCATACACATCCCCAGGTGTTGCCCATCAGTCTAAAAAAAAATTTATTTTTTTAATTGGTTTCTTTAATCGTTAATTAAAGGAATTGAGTCTTTGCCACAAACTCTAACTTTTGCAACCTAATGGTGTGATTTTCAAAAATAAATTATTCGATCTATCATAATTCATAACTAAAGTCTATGTGATCGGGCTGCAAAGACATGGCCCATGGAGATTAGAAAATCAAAGTTCTCTGGCAAAGACTCATAAACAGTTAAACAAACAAAAATAAATGGAAAAAAATTTAAAACAGAATCTTTAAATTAAAATAAAATAAATTAAATAAAAATACGGTAATGCATCTAAGTTTTTTAATAATTATTTTATCAAATTTCGAACCACTACCAATAAAACGGTTGTCACTATACTGTTCGAAAAAAAGAAAGTTTGATTCCCCCCCCCCAAAAAAAAAAAAAAAATTAAATCAGAAACTTTGTTTTTGTCATCGAAAAAAATGACACTCACTCCATGACTCATGGTTGCGAAAATATAATAATATAAAAATACATTTAAAAGAAATATTTTGTGTACTTTTAATAGATTATTCTGCAACCAGGAAACAAGGGGATTGGTCGCGCTTGGATGATCTCTAGGGTGGAGGGATGAATATAAATATGGATGGATGAGTGGATGACAAAGGAAAATCTCAAGGTGGAAAATGTTCAAGGTTGTATGTATCCTGTAATCAGGGTTCAACGAATCCAACACGGATCAAAGATTTCGATGAGAAAAAACATCTATGAAAAAATGTTTAAGTTTTCAAAGTATGATTTATCAAAATACAAATTGATTTCAGAATTAGCCCCTCCCCCTTCCCCCCTTCTCCCTTCAATCTTGATTTTTTATTCCCAGTTTGAAAAAAAAGGTATTCTAGAGAGATGCCAATTTATAATTTTTCGAAATTTCTATTGAATGAATGATACTTTATTCATTCTACTTTTACAAATATCATTTAGAATCCTTGGTTGGAATATTGGACCAATCCCTTAATATTAGAATCCTTGATTGTATTACTGGACCAATTCATTGTAATTAGAATCCTTGGTTGTATTATTGGACCAATCCCTTTATATTAGAATTTTTGGTTGTATTACTAGACCAATCCCTTGAAATTGGAATCCTTGGTTGTATTATTGGACCAATCCCTTGATATTAGTATCCTTGGTTGGATTATTGGATCAATCCCATGAAATTAGAATCCTTGATTGTATTATTGGACCAAAATCCCTTGATATTCGAATCGTTGGTTGTATTATTGAAACAATCCCTTAAAAATAGAATGCTTGGTTGTATTATTGAAACAATCCCTTGATATTAAAATCGTTGGTTGTATTATTGAAACAATCCCTTGATATAAGAATTCTTGGTTGTATTATTGAAACAATCCCTTGATATAAGAATCGTTGGTTGTATTATTGGACCAATCCCTTGATATTAAAATCCTTGGTTGTATTATTGAAACAATCCCTTGATATAAGAATCGTTGGTTGTATTATTGAAACAATCCCTTGATATTAGAATCCTTGGTTGTATTATTGAAACAATCCCTTAAAATTAGAATCCTTGGTTGTATTATTGGACCAATCCCTTGATATTAGAATTCTTGGTTGTATTATTGAAACAATCCCTTGATATTAGAATCCTTGGTTGTATTATTGGACCAATCCCTTGATATTAAAATCCTTGGTTGTATTATTGAAACAATCCCTTGATATTAGAATTCTTGGTTGTATTTAAGACTAAGATGAATGAAGGATTACGGTAAGGATAGCTCGTATACTTGTGTGTATGAAAAACCAAGGTTAAATCAATAGAAACGTGAAAAGAATTCATTGAACAATTAGATATGGGCAACAGTTCATGAACTTCATGCTGTTAGGATTAGAATAGATTTACAGTAGGCGCTATACACTATAATTTAAAAATCTCACGCTCTCAAGCAAAAATCTATGAGAATTTTGCCAATTATCTGTTAAAAACTAAATCCAACATTAAATGCTTTAAAGTGCTAGAATGTACATGCAAAGGACTACAGAAAAGCATAAATGAGTAAGAGCGGTAAAATCTAAGCCCAAGGCGTTGCGATACTTCTAAATTGATAAGACTGTTTATAAGCAGACTGAATCTATGTGACTATTATTACATATAGACATTAGAGGTCTACAAGCAATATCACATCTATGCAGGTTTCTTATGCCACCCCCCCTTCCCCCTCCCCAAATTTCTAGAGTTAAATGTCAAGGTGTATATTAAGTATGATTGTAAAATTCAACTTTCAAGTTTGGTTCTGAATATTAAATTTAAAGAGCCTAATAATATTTCATATTCCTATATGAATTTACCCCCCCCCCCCCATTGCACTCTACTTTTTAAACTATACCTGGAGATCTTTTAAAATTATTAAAAAGAGTCAGTGCAGTCTAAAAACTTTGCATCACTTTTTTTTTAAGATGTCAAAGATGTACCAGGATTGAAAGCCTTTTTAATGATCAAGTGTGAAATAGATATTCTTTTAATATTTTCAATTCTGGTTTCTCCGTAAAATTGTCTTGCGTATTTATGCTGCAGAGGGAATAAAGAAAATTAAACAATGAATAATGAATTGAACAATGAATTAAAAACGGGACTAATTTATTTTATTGATTCTCATTTAGAAATTTAAAGGGACTCGTTGTGAATCGGACATTTCCCTTGTTTAATGGAGCTGGTCGCATTTAATTAAGTCTACAGTCTTTTTAAGTCGCAAATAAGTCCCGGAAGAAAATGTGCGTTAATACGTCATCAATAAACCTGTAATCGTAGGTCAGAGGTTTGTTTCCTGTCTCGATAAACATTAAATTATCATAGTTTAGAATTAGACATCTGAATTCACAGAATGCAAAATGTTCTTGTCTAGTACACATGATAAGATCTAGAAGTACTGTACAATATGTTTTCTATATCACGCTACCATTGTACAATATTGTACAATATGTTTTCTATATCACGCTTCCATTGTACAATATTGTACAATATGTTTTCTATATCACGCTACCATTTCCGTCTTCCGTTCAACTCTCTTTTCTTATCATAACTTTATATCATCTTACTTCCTTCCTCCTCCTCCTTTCCTCATACTATTTTCTCAAATTTAAGGGACTGCAGTTGGAATTTCAAGTGACCCTGCATTTATAAGTTGGAATGATCGATTCACAACGATAAACTTTACACCAACAACAAAACATATTGTTAAAGGGACTGTAAGCGTAACTTCAAGTGGCCCTCCATGAAAGGATGGCAATGCCTAATTTACAACAGTACCCCTAACAGCTTTGTATGATGAAGTATGAATTAGAATTGTCCCTTTAACGCAGCTATCTTTTTCATCTTAATATGAATCCATCGAATTGCATTTGACAATTGTAGGTTGTAATTTATGAATGATTAGTTTTAAATTTAATTGAATTATTTACGGTCTGAGCAAAATAATGCAACATAGGTGAATTTGTATGGACGCTACGCTCTTGGGTGTTAACTGTTACATGTTTCTAAAGATTTTTTCCTCATAGACGCAACAGATAGAAGTAAAATTAGAAGTGATCAAGAAATTGAATTCGATATCAGTATAAACCCTTTCATTTTTCCATTTTTCCCGAACACTCCCTTTAAGCCTAATCCCTCCTGATCCCCTCCTAATCCCCTCCTGATCCCCTCCTGATCCCCTCCCTGGTCTCAATTAGATGACAATAGTTATTAAATAATAGTGGATAAAGGGAGGGGTGTCCTTCAAAATCATACTGTGACCTTAAAGGTTGATAAATAGATAGAGAGTAAAAACATTAGAAATAAAAACCAAGTGGGTCGTGCTTTACAGATAAGTAGATCAGATCAAGAAAGATAACCATGGTTAATACATAATAGATAATAATACTTTAATAGATAACGATAAAAGATGGCTGTTTGATATTTAAAGAAAACAAAATAAAGATTTCACTTTTATACATAAAGAAAATAATTTTAGAAATAAAGATAACAGGTTGATAGATAAAGATAAATAAAGATACCAGTTTGATAGATAAAGATACCAGTTTGATAGCTAAAGATTACAGCTCAATAGATAAAAATACCAGATTGATAGACAAATTTACCAGTTTTGATAGATAACGATTATAGTTTAATAGATAAACGTAACTGCTTGATTGAAAGGTCTGTATGATTGTTGTCAATTTTCAGATTGAAAGCAAAAATAAATTTTAAGAATTCTTCTTAAACTTTTACTGCTTACAAAATCCCTCTAAAACTGAATGAATTAATAAAAAATGGTAAAAAGTACGTTTAAAGGATAAAAAGTTACCTTTAAGCACTCCCACACAAACATGCATGTTCCTTGTATGCCTGACACCTCACATGGCTTCGGAGAAATTTTGTAGCCATCTAAGCAAATAAAAATATCTTAGAGCCGAAATTATCTTTTTACATTATGCATTTTTTAGAGTGACCAAAAATTTAGATTTTCAGCCAGTTTATCATAAAATATTGGGATCTTGCCCTTTAATTTATATTTTTCATGTGGCAGACCAACACATAATTCAAAACATGTGAATGAATACATAATGTTGACAAAAGCAACAGATTCAAGGTTTGGTTCAAATACTGATTGGTAAACTGCTGGCGGATTTCCAAAATCTGATCCAATTATTATTGATTAAATGAATTTGTGTGCATAAATTATCATTAAATATATTCACGGACAAGGTCATAAACAAGGCCGGGCATTCAACTAAATTATTAAAAATTAACTAAATCATTTTTTAGAACTCTGGATAAAAGTTTAACATTTTTTAAAGATATTAGTTTTGAGACTACATTTTAGGGCGTTGGGTCACACTCAACTTTTAATTTTAAAACCAGGCTAACAATATTTTCGTGGTTCTACCGAGTTCCCCAAGCAAACTTTGAGACAAATCGGTCATGGAGTTCTTGAGTTATGCTTGTATATCCATACATATCTATAAACAAAGATTACTATACTTTATATATATAACACATATAAATATTAAAGTTTCTTTTAATGAAACCCTTTTTAGAGTTTTTTTACCAACAAATATCTGAAAAATAAATCCTTATTTCTTGATTGAAAGGAACTAAACACACCCCAGCACACATTCTAATTTTACAATCCCTATATCTTTGCAACCTTCGATATTTCAATCAAATAGTCTAAGTTTGAAATATCAGAGTTTTAAATCCTCAGATTGAAAGATAAAAGGCGAACAAATTTGAGTTTGAGACAAGTGCTCTCTTCTTTTATTCTTAAATATGTCTAATCCGTATTCCGTGCGTATACTCTATAGAATATAAAGATGTATATCAAATACTGAATATACACATATGTATATTTGGATGAATATTTATGGAATTCTAGAATATACATAAATGTACATGTATATGTATTGTATATGTATATGAATATGTATATGTATATGCACCGAATACTAGAATATACACATATGTAAATGTATATGAATATGTATATGTATATGTATACCAAAAACTAGAATATACATATAAGTATATGTACCGAATACTGGAATAAAGCAGTTTAGATTATATCAGATATCTTCATGCTTCAAGTCTCAAGGTTAACGTACATCCTTAATACTTTACACTTAAAAATGCCCACCTTTTATAGTTTGTTTAATCTTAAACTAAGATTTCCTAAGTTGTGTCTTTTATAGTTTGTTTAATCTAAAACTAAGATTTCCTCAGTTGTGTCTTTTATAGTTTGTTTAATCTTAAACACAGATTTTCTCGGTTGTGTATTTTAAAGTTTGTTTAATCTAAAACTAAGATTTCCTCATTTGTGTCTTTTATAGTTTGTTTATTCTAAAACTAAGATTTCATCGCTTGTGTCTTTTATAGTTTGTTTAATTAAAACTAAGATTTCCTCAGTTATGTCTTTTATAGTTTGTTTAATCTAAAACTAAGATTTCCTCAGTTGTGTCTTTTATAGTTTGTTTAATTAATCTAAAACTAAGATTTCCTCAGTTGTGTCTTTTATAGTTCTTTAAATCTAAAAGCATTCCTAGAACAATAATAAGAAGATTTGTGTTTATATTATTTTAATTTTAACTATGAAATTTCTAAAAAATTCTAATAAAAAAGTAAAATTTACGATTAACGTGACGAGATAACTTTGTACTTTTTAATCTGCAAAGATTTTATTTCTATATTTCGTAAATTTAACGCTCCATGGAGTTTTAAACCTTTTTTTGCCTTTAGGTGTATTGACAAAATTTTTATCACAGAAAAGGTATAGCACGAAAAACGTAAATTCACAGACAATTCAGTAGTCTGCAAAGATGGTGTGTCTTTTTTAGTAAAGGAACTGAGTTCTAGCCACAATCTTTGAGTTTCTTAACCCCTAATCTTTGCAGCCCAATGTCATAGACCTTTGATATTTCAAACTATGGATTCTGTTAGATCAAATACGTTAAGTTTGAAATATCAAATCAAATCAAATCAAATCAAATCATTTATTAGGCCACAAGTTAACAATATTCATATTAATAAAAATGACTATACAATTACATATATATATTTTGTGGCCGGGGAGCTACAAGATAGCTCAGGCTGTTTTCACACGAGCTCCCGAGGTTCAGAAAAATAATGATTAGATTCAAACATTGTGCAATGTGCCTTTATGGAGCACAAAAATGGCGAAGAGTAGCGGCGGTGGCGGTTGGAGAACAGGAGGCGGAAACATGGCGTCAATCTTTACAGTCACAAATACAAAAAGTTTTAGGCTCAATAATGTAGAAGATTGTTCTTGATCAAGAAATATTATTACTACATGTTATTCTAATCAAGATAAGAGATCAAGAATAAGCTGAATATTTCTTCTGACAAGGATACATATATATGATATTCATTATATGTATCAAGTATTAAAAAATATGAACAGATCATATTGCAGTCCATGGAAACCCCAATTTAATCTAAGAAACTAGAGTTGAACAGGTATAGCAAAATAGCCGATTGCATTCAAAGTTCGATAATCTATCCAGAAAATGTTGCTTAAGTTTATATCTAAATTCATTTTTGCTAGCAATACAAGACAAATCTGGGTCAAGTTCATTCCAACAGGAAGTGAAAGAATACAAGGGAAATCTATTTATAAATAAATTTTTACATCTAGGAACAAAAAATTGATCTCGATTTCTTAAGGGGTATTGGTGCATCTCAATATCTGAATTCCTGGGGAACACTGGATCCATATAGAAAGAAGGAGGGGCGTAACTAAAAGCTATGGAATGCATGAACGAAAGTTTTTGATGAAGAATAAGGTCCGTGAAGGGGAGTATCTTTAATTCATAATATAGAGGTTCAGAATGAGCATTATATCTAGCTTTTGCAATTGTTCTAATACATTTTCTTTGTATAAGACTCAGAGAATTAATATTTTTTAGACTGGTACAGCTTATAAGTGGTAGACAATATAAAAAGTGAGGATGGACAAGAGCATAATAAATACTTTTTAGAGCTGAGGTCAAAGGTTTACACAATCAAGTTGCAAAGATATAGAGATTAGAAAATGTGGGTTTGTGACAAAAACTCAACTCCTTTGACGCACACATAGAGTTTAAGTCTTGCTTGCCATAACATGAATTGACATTTTTACAACTAAATACACATAACACTTATTTCAAACTTTAAATGCTGGTATTAATTAAGCTTAAAATTAAACTAATATCTAGCATCTTTTATAACTGAAATACGTTCATAGTATTTGAAAAACCCTTTATTTGTTTATGGCCTACAGTTATTAAAATGATTCAACATTTAAAAATTTTCTTTAGTCTTCAAAAATGCTAATTTAGTGTTTTGAACAGACTAATATTATGTGGGACACCCTGTATCTGTATAATGCATTTTAGTAGTGCACATATGTTTCAACTTTATAGGATTAAAATAGAAATTAAAACTTTAAAACATTCTGATAATTAAAATAACAAAATATTGTAATGGTAGTCCTATCTTTTTTTTCAAAAGAATTAGGTTTTTGCCAGAAACTCTGCATGGCTTTCTGATATATCTTGGCAACCCAATATTTCAAACTATAAATTCTGTTAGATCAAACTAATTTATTTTTAAATATCAAAGGTTTTCACCATCAGGTTGCAGAGATTAGAACATTAGAGTTGTGGCAAAGAATCAATTCCTTTATAATTTTGTTATCCGATCTAGTTTAGATAAAAAAGAGTAAGTTTGATGTAAATTTATAAATTCAGTTTAACATTTATTGTAGTAATTTCATGAATAAAAGGTTTATGAAGATTTAGGAGAAATCGGATCAAGAATTGATCCGCCCTCCTCCCCCTAGATGAGCGTCACAATTTTGCGTAATATCCGAGAATTGTGACGCTTGGTGACCCTAAAGGCCAACCTGACGCAAAGCTTCGCCCTGTACGCGGCCAGGAAATAAAGCTAACGCCGCGCCGATTAAAGGATGAAACAAATCCAATTATTAACTTGAAAATCAGTTTCAACTCAATAAACACTTTATTTGGAATTATCTATTAACACAACAGCTTTACTACATTGCATTCACTGTAAAATCATGCAGATACAGGCTGAATCAAACCAAACTCAACCAAATCCAAACCGGATCCAACAAACCAAACTCAACCAAAACCAAACCGGATCCAACAAACCAAACTCCACTAAATGAATTTATGACTTCGTTTTTAGAGATTTCTCTCTGATTTTTTGCATGCAGGCCTGAATTGTGATCTGGTTTTTGAATCAAACACCAAAGTGGAGAAAAAATAATTTTCCCCCTAATTTGTCCCGCATTTTTCGGGCCTTTTTTCAAAAACTTTGTGTTAAAAACTGAATTGATTGATGTGGGGTGTCTAAAGTCATTAATATTAGGTCGGGAAACTCAATTCTGGATTTTATAATGCATTTCCCGCTCTCCTTATAACATTTCCCCCCCCCTTTCCCGCATTTTCCCCCTCCTAAAGGCCAAAGAAGCCTTCTGACTTTATTACTAGAGATTTCTCTCTGTTTTTTTGCATGCAGACCTGAATTGTGATCTAGTTTTTGAATCAAACACCAAAGTGGAGAAAAAATAATTTTCCCCCTCATTTTTCCCGCATTTTCCGGTACTTTTTTCAAAAACTTTGTGTTAAAAACTGAATTGATTAAACTGAGAAATTGAGTCTTTGACAAAAGCTTAAATTTTCGAATCCCTACACATATCTTTGCAGTCTTTGATATTTCAAACTTAGATTATTTGATCTAACGAAAACATAGTTTGATATATCTAAGATCAATGACATTGGGTTGCAAAGATATAAGGATCAAAGTGTGTGGCAAAGATTCAATTCCTTTGTTAAAAATAATTCTTATTTTGGACTAAATGGTATATACATAATTTTATAAGCAATCAAAAATTGACATTCTTAATGTATTTTATATAATGTGTGTATAATTTATTTAGTTTATTAATCTATTCTTTTTTCAAAGTTTGCAAATGTTTATAAAATAATCCTTTATTCTAAGGTAAGTGATTCAATCTTTAAACTTAAATATAAAATAATATTGTAGATACATTATAATCATACTTAGAAAGAGTGGTTTTCTTAGCTATGAATATGTTTAATCTTTTGGATAGTATTATATTTCATAATTTTTGTCAAATGGAAATAAATCCAATATAGCAATTTGTTATTGGAAATCCGCAAAAACTATTAGGAAAATCTAGAACATCTACTGGCTATTGGGGAAACATCTACTGACCTAGGATTAAACTGAACCAGAGTCAAGCAAACTTAGGCAAATTTAACCAAACTTAGACAAAGGAATTGAGTTTTTGCCAAAAACTCTGATTTACTAATCTCTTTATCTTTGTAACCCAATGTCGTAGACCTTAGATATTTCAAACTATTAATACTTATGGATAAAATAATCTAAGTTTGAAATATCAAAGGTTTGCGCCATCAGGTTGCAAAGATATTGGGATCAGAAGATTTGAGTTTGTGGCAAAAACTCAATTCCTTTAACCAAACATATCCAAATTGAAACAAACATAACCAAATTTAACCAAACATACCCAAATTCAACCAAACTTATTCAATGTTAACCCAATTTAACCAATGTCAACCAAACTTAGCCAATATTAATTTAACTTAGTAAAACTTAACCAAACTTGGCCAAATTTAACCCAACTTAGCCGATTTCAACGAACTTAGCCAATTTCAACGTGAACCAAATCAAAATCTCTCCATAAACCCCGAAATCAAAGTATTCCTACCATCTGTCCTGGACTGCCGGGGAACGCCTTCTAGTGGAAAAGGAACCAGATGCTCCGCCTCCTCGTCATCTTGATCAACAACCTCCTGATTAACCACACCTTGAACACTCCTGGCTATTAAAGCTGAAATATTTCCCCTGGCTCCTGAATCTAATGATCTTGCTCTGGCTAAATGCTCCAGCTCCGTGCTCCCTGCTCCCAAAGAGACAACATGTTTGCTCCCAACTGCAAGGGAGCAAGGTAGGATGAATGAAAGGGCTCCCACCACTTTCCACCATCCTCTCCTCACCATAGCACAGCAAGCTAAAAACAATAAATTTCAGATTTAAAAAAATCTAAATGTAATATAACAACAATATGAAAGTGTGTTTACTGTTGTGTAAAACTTTTTTTTAACCTATCAGAAGCAAAAAGCAATAAGAAGAAAAATTGGAGAGCCGTTAAAAGACCAAATTATAAAAGACAAAATTTGTAATTAGGAAGATGGCGCCCTATACTACAAGTATAAGGAGTAAAGTTTGAGAATTTAAGCTTTTTTAAAGGAAATTATTTTAAACTTTTTATCTTTGAAATTGACAACTTAGTTAGTGAATAATGTTAAAACTTTAAAAGTATCAAACCTGCAGTCTATGTTTGAGATCGTTTTCTTGTAGGCATTAGGAGGGTTTTTAGGTTTTTAGAAACCGTTTCTACGAGGTCTTTTTAGGTAAGGTTTCATAGGTGCTCCGGGAACACCTTAAAAAATATAAAATGAATGAGAAAGTAGCGCAAACTGTTTGATATTTAGTTAAAATTGTAAAAATAATTAACCTTAAATCTTTAAAACCTCTTTATTATCTCTTATTCATTTTATTCTGTTAAGGTCTGAAAATATTTTTTATAGCATATTATTTTTTGTATTACAAAATAATTTTTAATACTGTGGTATTAAGGTTACAGACCTTATTTTGTTTTTCTTGTGTTTTTTAATATCTATAATTAGATTCTTGCTTATTTTCATTTCATGTTCTATGGAAAGTAATTAATATCTAATGATTTTTTTTTCTGAAGGTTTTACAGATTACTGCAGATAAAACCCTAATCGGAGAAAAAATAATTTAAGATTTGTTCGACATTTTATAATATTTTATACTAGCTCAAGCGGAATAAAAATAGAATTAATTTTTTTTAAAAAGATTGATTTTTTTGCCTTTGTTACCCCCAGAGTACTCATGGGTTTCCTCAAAATGTTCAGTCAATATGGATTAGCCGTTTTGCCAGCTAAATCTAATATATAAATATATATAAATATGAGAGAATTTATATCGATTAAGATCAACTGAAGCGTAGTAGAATGTACAAACATGAAATCAACGTGTTTTTTTATTTTCCTATTCAAATATTCAGAGAGAGTCTTTGAAATTATTCTTATAAAGACTCTTATTCGCTACAATATCTAAATATGTATAGTAGTAATCTCTGTTTGTATGTCCAATCATAACTCAGGGACCCCTTGACCGGTTGGCCTCAAATTTTGATCGAGGAACTCGGAAGAAACACGGAAATGTTCTTAGTTTAGTTTTGAGATTCTAAGTTGGATGGATCGACTTGTATAGGAGAAAATAGCTAAATCGTAACTTGCGAGCAAGCCCGGGTAAACAGTGGGAGTAACTATGAAAACTCTGGGCAAAGCTGGGTTCTCAAGTTAGTTAAAACATAAGATTCATGTTTTCACCTACTTCTCAGTAAATGCAAAGTACTCTTGACTCTTGAGAGTTTACAGTCACAACAAATCCAGTTCGTGGATTTGTGTTGGTTGGTTCGCGGATTTCTGTGTTATTGAACTTGACACTGTTTAAACCTTAATTGTTTATTTTACGGTTTACTACAAGGAGGGGTAGTGGGGGGGGGGGGCTGATAAATTTTGTCAATTCACTACAAAGTTCTTTTCACATAATAAATGTCAGCTATTAATTTTTTTACTGCTGAAATGTGTTGTTTAAATTCATTTGTAGGTTATGTAAAATAGTCTTTTTACATCGAAAGTATAATTTTATAATTTTTTTTAAAATGATAACATTTTTTTCGAAGTTGACAAATTTTATTAATTTTAAAAAAATTAATTAATTAATTCACCTGGCTAAAATTTTAAAAGATGTGGCATTGTTGGTTCTTTAATTTTTCTTAACCTTGAACTGAAATCATTTAAGCCGTAGGTTGGAAAATTAGTTAAAATATAAATAATAATCCTAACACATGCCGACATTTTCTACACAACAAACTTACATTTTCTTAAAATGTCAAATTTAAACACAGCTGGATGCAAATATAAACGAATTAGAAAATTTGAATCTTCGGAGTTATCAATTTGTTCCAACGTGTAGTTTGAGACTTTATTTGTGGGTTAAATTAAGATTTATAATTGGCTATTTTTCTTTTATCCGTGAAACAAATAAAAAAAATTTAATATCAATTTTGAATAACAAAGAGTTAAAAATGTTATGATACTAACTTTTTGAAAACAATTATATTTTGTACAGCTCCAAACAATCATATTTTTTACAGCTCCAAACAATCCTATTTTGTAAAGCTCCCAAACAATTATATTTTGTAAAGCTCCAAACAGTTATATTTTGTACAGCTCCCAACAATTATATTTTGTACAGCTACAAACAATTATATTTTGTACAGCTATAAACAATTATATTTTGTACAGCTCCAAACAATTTTACTTTGTACAGCTCCAAACAATTATATTTTGTACAGCCCCAAACAATTATATTTTGTACAGCTCCAAACATTTATATTTTGTACAGCTCCAAACAATTATATTTTGTACAGCTCCAAACAGTTATATTTTGTACAGCTTCAAACAATTATATTTTGTACAGCTCCAAACTATTATATTTTGTACAGCTCCAAACAATTATATTTTGTAAAGCTCCAAACAATTATATTTTGTACAGCTCCAAACAATTATATTTTGTACAGCTCCAAACAATTATATTTTGTACAGCTCCAAACTAAAATAGATGGAAGGAGTAGTTCCTTAATAATGAGAAATACTAAGGAATTGAGTCTTTATCCCAAACTATGATTTTCTAATCTCTATATCTTTTTAATCCAATGCCGTAGACCTTAGATATTTCAAACTATGGATTCTGTTAGATGAAAAAATCAAAGTTTGAAATATCAAAGGTTTACACCATCAGGTGGAAAAATATAGGTATTAGCAAATCAGAGTTTGTTACAAAGACTTAATTCCTTTATTTTACACATTCTAGAAATTCAAAACTTGATTGTGTTTCTCTAAAGCTTATAGCTCTTTAATAGAAACTTTGATAAAGCAGATCTCAATCTCAATCAATGCCCGGCCCCAAGGAGCATGACCTAGAAGGTCTGCCCTACGACCTATGATTATGCATGCTTTGCAGACGGTCTCCATTTGTATAAGAAATATTCAGAATAGGTTATTGTGTACGCGGTAATTGTACATCAGACAAATATTTCTTATTCACATGAAGTACCGTCTGCAAAGCATGTATAATCATATAGTAGGGTGGGTCACGTCAGTTGTATCTCCCTTCTATTTGATACTCCTAGCCCGGCCCCTTATATCTCACCAATATTGCGCCCCACTTTCCTGTAAATAATGTTAGATTTTAACTGTTGTTCTCATTTTTAATTTTGGCGGATTTTTATTTTCGAATTGACGCTTTTTCAAACAAAACCATCTAATTTTTAGAAACTTGTTTACAATTTTGATGCTCCATAAACCTTCCCTGGGGTCATGTGAGGTCCATACAAAATTTGGCCCCGAACAAAAAAACAGACATGTACAGACAAGCAAAGTATATAAATGGAATCCTTGAAGCTAAAGATGTTACAAATACTTTATTACAGAATTTGGTAGAAAATCTATATTTAATCTTAACATCTTTTAAATTGAAACTAATCAAAATTATTTCACCGAATTTTTTTATAGAATTTTTGTAAGGTTCAATGGTTACTTTAAAACCTTTTATTAAAAAGATTATAATTTCTATGAAATTTATGAAAGCATATTTAAACAGAAAACATAAATTCCATTTTTTATTAAATCTCAGCTTCAATTGGATTAAAAATATAAAATATTTTTTTTGAGTACACCCATTTTAAAGAGAGTTGAGAAGGAATAGCAAGAAATATGATTAAAATTTTATAAATCAATTTAGAAAATGATTTTTTGTTTTGACCTAGCAAAGGAAGAGCCAGTAGGAACAAATATTGTAAACAAACTTCATTGTTTACTATACTGTTGTTTACCTAACCTTAAACCAGTTCTAAAACATAAATGTAAANGGGGGGGTATAGATACAAATTATACCCACCACTCTGCCCATTAATCATGTTTTTTATTTGTATTTTATAATATAAACTTGTAATGTAAGAATCCTTCAAATATTTGTATATATCATAGAACTACAAATTGGTAGGATCAAGTCACATTATTATCACTCCACTTTTATAATCACAATAAAAATTTTATCTGCATGTGAGAAAAAAAGTAAATACGCCAATAATATTTGTAAAACTATCTGTTCTAATTCACATAAAAATTTTTAAATAAAGTTTGAAAATAAATTGAACGCGCGTATTTGTACGACATTGTGCGCAGTGCGCTGGCGTATTCAAACTGAGCTATGTGCGCGTAAATTTGGTCCGTTTCCGCGCACACTGCTTTAAAGGGAGTGTTCGCGAAAAATGAAAGGGGTAAAGGCTTACGGCGAAAAATAACAATATTTTTCGACACATTCGTTTTTAGTTGATATTTTATAATATTCTTTATTTCTTATGATATGAGAGTTGATTTTTAGAACATTTATTCCTTTTTCGAGGATTTTTGATAATGAAGACGACATTTTAATGTTTTCCGGGAATGTTCGAAAATCCAGCGCCAGCGAAATATTATTTTTTTTAAATCAAAAATATTATGAAATATTAACTTTATACAAATGCGTCGAAAAATAATCGATAACTATTGTTTGTAATATCTGAATGATTTATTTGGAAATAAATTGATTATTTTACGATCCGAGTTGAAAGTTTCAACTTTCCGAATTTGTATGGACGCTACATTACAATCAATATTAGTAGCGATCAAAGGCGCTTATTTTTCGCCGTAAGCCAATACCCCCTCTTATTTTTCGCGAACACTCCCTTTAAGGCCATCATATAGCTTCCAACTAATTATATTGTTTACATTGGTTTATTGGGAAGAAATTAGAACGTTCACAGTATACAGTACATCGGATTGGAAAGTACGATACATCAGATTAAAGATTATTACAAATTTATAGTACAGCTACTACAATTAATTGGATAGTATATGGATAGTTTAGTACAGTACAGTAGATTAAATAGTAAAGACAGTAGATTGGATAGTACAATTATTACAATAGATTAAGTAATGTAGTACAGTATATCAGATAGTGAGGTACAGTATATTAAATAGTAAAATACAGTAGATTGAATGTACAGTACAGTAGATTGGATAATACAGTACAGTGAATTGCATAGTAAATGTACAGTAGATTGGATAGTACAGTACAGTAGATTGGATAATACAGTACAGTAGATTGGATAGTATAGTACAGTAGATTGGATAGTATAGTACAGTAGATTGGATAGTATAGTACAGTAGATTGGATAGTATAGTACAGTAGATTAGATAGTACAGTACAGTAGATTGGATAGTATAGTACAGTAGATTGGATAGTATAGTATAGAAGTTTTAAAATAATATTAAAATTGTTGAACTTTTTTTTGGCATTGTGCCACTTTTTTTAATATGCTAAAATCCCGTTCTTTCAACCTAATTGGTAGTTTTTACGAATA